AACAGCAGAAACGAGCCCGAGCATGTGCCAGGAGTTTAATCCGAGTTAGGGTAGGAGTTAAAACGCGAAACGCAACCGCTGGGGGGGCTCTAACACTACGACACAAGCCCAAAAACGGGAACTGATGTTGTGGCGCCAGACAACATGCTCCAGCAAGTCGCGGAAGTCGCAAACGAGCTCCGGCAGAAGGTCAACGCAGGACAGGCTGGGCAAAAAGGTAGTCCAGCGACTGCTGGGACTGGCAAACTTCATCACCGTATCCGCGGCAAACAGAGCCGGAAGCGAGACCATGGGGTCTCTTTACGCATGGACAGAAGACGCCACCTTTGACAAACTGGTGAAGCAGCGGCGGCAACGAAGAGCACTCCTGCGCTCCACTGCGGCCATCGAAAAGATGGCCCACAAGGTAAACAGGCTCAAACTCAGACTAGAACAAATCGCGAAGCCTCTGAGCTTCTTGCTCACGGACGCGTCAACAGATGGCGGGCCAAACGGCGAAACGACGCTCGGATACGTCATGATCCACCACAGCGGGAAGACCCTCATCCAAATGCAGCCCTTGACAGATGGCCGATGGGCCACCGCCAGAATAGAAGTACTGGAAGCGGCCGCGGTAGGCCTCGCCGCGAAGCAACTCCCGAGTTGGGCCAGCAACTCCGACCTCGTAGTGCTAATCGAGCACACGCCAGTGCTTTACAACTTCATCAAATGCAGCGGCAAATCCGCGGTGGTGGCAAGCACCGCGGTAGACGTAGTCAATCACTGGCACGGCAACAATGTCAAGCCGTGGCGCGTCTACATAGAATCCGAATGGAACCTGGCAGACTACATGACCAGACACGGCAAGCACAAACTGTTCATCAACACCATCCCAAAGCTGCAGACGGTTCAGCAGTCCACTGGCGCCCGACTATGGCTGGCTGAACTATGTGAACGCCTGCCGGCCCCCGCTGTCGCTGTCGCTCCGGGAGTTCGTCCCTCCCACGGGAGTGACAAGCGCGGAGGAGGACGGCAGCCGCCCCGGCACACCACCGACGCGGGTGCTGGCCGGCGGGAGGTCTTGACGCAAACCTGTGCAAAGGCTGGCACGCGTCCCCGTAACCCCTCAACGGCGGACGCGAGTCTCGGGCCGCCGACTCAAGTCCGCACCAGGAAGCCGGAGCCTGGTCGGGGTCTCCGGAGGAAGGTGCCGGTGAGGAAAGGATAAGGGCTCGGAGCGGTCCACTCACCACTGGCACGAGTCAAACCGAGACCAGAGGTTGAGCGGGAGCTCAAGCCCCGGTAGTAGGCCGACAGCGCGGGCTGGAGGTTCAAAGCGACCTTGTCCCCCAGCGTGGGGACAACGCCTGCTACTGCCGAGGGATTAGCCGCGCACCCGGGCCAAAGCGCCCCGGACCAAAGCGTCCGACGCGAAGAGCGAGCACCCGGAACTTCGCGGGTGCCGGTTGATCGACTCGTAGGGGCGACGGTGCACGAACACCGGCCGAGCCGCGAGAGGGGTCACGACACCCGGACGCTGGTGCGCAACTCTCTCTGGGGAGGTAAAGGCCTCCCGCCACGCTCTTTGGCAAACTTATGGGCCGTAGGTGCAACGACCGGCGCCGGCAAAGACCTGGGTCTGCCGAGCCAGCTTACTGTGCTGCCACAGCACTAAAAAGTATAACTCACCAGTAGACTTAGGATCCCCGGGGGTTAAGTCTCCAGTTTGTATATGACAAATCCTAGCTAACCAGACATGTCGCCACACATCAAAACATCCAATTGCCAGCCAAGAAACGAACGCGAAAACCATTTCCACCCATCGCAACACTACAGTTTTTGACTTTTCTTCGGACGGAAACTATGAGTATCACGACTTTAGCTTTGGGTCATTGAAGCCGTACGACAGATTGATCAAAGTGGCTGAGAGTACCTTCGACTGGAAAACGTGGAAGGATGAGTGGATAAGATACATTGCACTCGAGGATAAGGCGAAGTCTATCCATCTACCTCCAGGAACTCTGATCATGTCGTTAAGGCTGACAAAGCACACACGTTAAATATAGTCCATCCTCAAAAAAACAAATAGCAAAGATCATCACGATCAACCACATCCATCTCCATCAGAGGCGCGTCGGGGTCTCCAACTTGTTCTTTTTGGTATACTCATACTCAAAATGTTGATATAAGAAAAGGTAGAATTGCTCGTATTCATAAAAATTTGATGCTGACGAGTTTCTTTTGTAGTAGTTTCTGCCCACTCTAACTTTCGGCAAGTCCAAGATTCGCGGGTATTTTGCGGGTTCTCAGGGTCAGGATCCAAGAATTGAAACGACGAACACTAAGCGGTCACTGCTTGTAGTCAAGAATCTCGAAGGGAACAACGGCGGGTTTCCGGAGTTCGAAGTGAAGGAAGTCATGGTCTACAACATCGAAGGCACAATCGAGATCGAGATGCTAAGCGGATTGCAGTATATTGAGCAGTACTACCTTTACGGAGGATACAACTTTATATTTAGTAGATACGAAAAAAGGAAACCCATCACTCATCAGCCAATTATATGTACTGTTCTCTCTGGTATTAGGTAACATGATTTTGATGGCAAGGGTTCTCTTGTTGCTATTCCTTGTGATCACAATCAGGCTACTGAATTCCAGAACCATCCAGAATATGTAACAAGAACAATGCCAATATTATTATAATATGCCTGCGGATATTGAAATTGATTATGAAGTCAGAGTCACGGCAACTATGATTCATTCTTCTGCTTGTAGATGTAGCTTCTGTCTTGATTTTATTTTTTGTTGCCTCCCCGCCTACATTCTTGATTCATGACGAAGCTGGATCCGGATGTTCTCGTCATGATCGAAATAAGAGAGCCCGATAAATAAAGTGATGTCGTTGATGATCTTGATCTAGAAACATCTAATGCTCTAGAAACATCTAATGCTTCCGTGAGCATGCGGACGGACAACAACAGGAAAAAGGCTCAAAGGGGGTTGCTACATTGCAATCCCTTGCCAAAAATGGGTCCTATTGGAAGCGCGTCCCCGTGCGCCTCGGTATTGACACAGTGCTTCCAAACTTCGTTACTCTGTTCTCAGTGTCATCTACCACGACTCGCTGTACCTCCTCCACGTCTTTGATTACGATTTGTGGCACAGTGTTTGGATTAGAGCTAGAAAGCAGAAGTTCTGTAGAAGTAGCTATGACTATGTCTTCATAGAAAAGAAAAAAACGACGTTGCTTTTGATTGATCCTTCATCATCGGCGATGTTTGGATGATGGAAGAAAAGGTGATCAGAGATCGTTCGATATCGCTTTAGCTTTTCGGTTTCACTGTCTCATCTCAGTGTCAGTTGTCTCGCTGACGGTGGACCTGATACTACTGGAGTGAGCCATACACTAAGAATCTTCCTGTTAATAATGAACCTCCCATCACCACCACATTACAGATCATCCAACCGGAACCGCAGGAGCAATCGCAGGTGATGAAGAGACTGAGACTGTGACTGGCAAAGGTGTTGCTGCAGATGATCCAACCGGAACCGCAGGAGCAATCGCAGGTGAGAAGACTAACACGAGGAAAGGATCGGGCGTTGTTGCTTCTGCTTCTGCTGGTTTTGGTAGTGCTGTTCGTGCTGTTCGTGCTGCTGCTGCTGCTGCTGCTACTATTTTCGGCAGGGGCCGCGCTAGCGGCTCAGAATCAGCCTCGCCGCGCGATAGTGCAAGTGCTGAGCCTAATCCTCAAATGTTATGACGATTTGCTGATAGACAGGGATAGGGTGAAGGACGAGGAGCGCGGGGGACGGGGAGGCGGGACAGCAAATATTAAGGGAGGCTTTAGTATGAGAAAAACTAGTGGTACAGGTAGAGGTAGCTAGTGATGTCGAATGACAAAGACAAACTTGTAAGATGAATTTGAACTAGTGAACAATAGAAGAACTTGAACTAGTGAACAAGAATAGAAGAAGATTTTATTTTTCTACTTGGCGTTTGCGGTGACTTGTGAAGAAATAAAGTCTAGTTGCACAACAGCTAATTATGCAAAGGAAGAGAAAAACTCCTGTACTAAGAATGGTATTTTTCAGTGCTTATATTACATACTAGAATGCACAATCACAGGGAGGACAGGAAGTAGCACGCTAGTATTGCGTACATGATGATCATGCTGTTCTGTTCATATTTTCGCTTTCCTTTCTCCATGATCATGATGCTGTGATAGGAACAATCTATATGTAGGATACCGCTTGTTGTCTGCGATCTCCTTTGCTAGTTCTTGCTCTACGGGTAAGGAACGGCAACGCTCTTGATATTGACAAGAGGAATGGGTGCACTCAAAATTGATGCCTCAGCCTTCGCTTCAGCCAAGCTATGGGGGGGAGTTCAGTTAGCCTCCGGCTACTTCCTTCCTTGTAGCTATGGCCGGATAGCTTGTCTTTACTGTCCTGTGGGGTCTTATTTTTCAGAAAATTTGTCTTCATCAATGGGGGAGTGTTACTCCTCCCTCATTTCAGCCCCTCACCAGGAGCACTCTGATTCACTAGCGTCATACTTAGACTGTGGCGCTTCTCTAGGATGAGCGTGCTCCTGTTCTGTCACTGCGGTGACCTATGAGTTATCAGGCCCTCTGTGACTGATTTCAAAGCTATAAGCTATTCGAGCTGTTACCTTCGTAGACAGTTCAGGCGAACAGCGTGCTTGATGCTGCATAGGAGACATCGCTGCTCTTCTGATGCCCAACATGACCCCTCATGAAAAACCCAAGTTCTTGTTGTTGAGAAATTACATTTCCTTGAAAGTTTTCTCAAAATCAAAAAAGTGTTCACGAAGTGCGGGGACAACAATCGCGAACAAGCACTGATTGAGAATGTACAGCTGATTGCAGATGAAATTCCTTATGCTTGTCCTGCTTGAAGATGCTTAAAAATGTTCTTGTTGAGGATCCTGTTGATGGACTTCTTCGTGTTCTCGTTGAGGTTTCGAGTTTTCTATTCAGACGGACCGCGTTCGCATTCGCGGGTTCACCTAGGAAAAAAAAATTGGATTTTATTAAAGACGACGAGAACGAGAAGGTCATCAACATACGTTTACATAATGACAATACTGCACTCGGATCTTCCTTGATGTTCTTGATCATGATCAGGCTCTTATTGTTCCCGGTGCTGCTGTCAGTTCCTTATTTAATTCCTCCTGAATCCAAGAACGAACCGTCCTCTTTGCCTGAAGTTGAATCTAATGACCTAATCCTCAACATCAACGAAATTTATTTTGAATTAAAAGCTTTCTTTTGCTTTTCATCTCAACCAGAAACCTTCTGAAGTTCCTCTGCTTATTTCTACAACCCTTCCGATGGTGATGGTTCATCCCCTCAACATGTATATAAACATCATTCAATTTGATCATCATTTAGTCTCTCTAACAGCTCTGATCCTGGATGTCCTGTTTGTTTTTTTCTAGATTGATTGACTTCAAAAACCAACTCTACTTCATAACCCCTACTACTCCTTGTCCATGAAAAGGTATGAAACTTAAGAACCTATTTGACCTTAGTCTGTGTCACTGGTTTACTTAATGTAGTGGATGTAAAACCTCATCTAGAATTTGATTGTCAGCCCAGCTAACCTTCGGAAACTTAGAAAAGGAACTTAAAAAGATGGCAGACCTTTCGTGGCATCAGAACCGCATCCGAGATGGTGCGAGAGGAGGACAGGAGAGCTTCAATTGGGACGCCGTAAGGCAGATGGGTTACCGAGATCGCGAAGCCTACCTCGGACACAGCATCAATGTTGGCGCATTGGGGAAAATGGGCAGATACATTATGAAGGTGGTGGTGGATGATCATGACTAGTATTATTCTATTTATAATTAGCTCGGACTTGTTGGTCGTGATAGGAGGTGCAGGTTTACGCCTTCGGATGCTGGTTTTGTGGTCGTTGGATCATGACTAGTATTCGTACTATGTATTCACATGAACACAACAACTATGACTCACGTTGATGAAGTTGTTCCACTGACTTATCGACTATAATATAATTGACTGTCTGTCTACACCGAGGACCACACAAAGTGTTCATCTTTTCTCATCATACTCATGCATAATTAAAGTTTTTGACTAATGACACATCTGCAACTGCATCTCCAGACCAAACAGAATCAGAAACATTAACATCATCTGATGACTAGCCGCCCTAAGAACCTCAATTGAATTATCTACGTGTAAGTAGACACGACTTCTAAGGATGATAAAAGCGATTGGTGGCAGTATAGTAGAGAAGCGAGTGGAGCAGGAGCAGCTCAAGGTAACAAGAACAAAGCTGCGGGTGGTTCTAGCAGTTCTACTGCCGCGACTGCAAAGACCGCGGCTAAGTCCTCCAAGAAAAGAACATCTACGTCAGCTTCTTCAAAAAGAGAAGTACTAGATAATGCAGAAGCTGATCAGGCCTCGTCACCTGAGAAAGATGAGACCAAAATGATGAAAGAGCTAGAGGAAGAACTTCTTGAGGAGGCGTTGGGTTTAAAGCCGAGAAAGCTTTTGTTGTTAAGGCGCAAAATTTATACATTTTACTTCTACATGCTTGCAGAAGGTCTTCAAAATGTAGACATCTCTACATTTAGATTTACTTACTTTTACATACAGGAGTACGAGCAGTAGTTCCTTTTTCAACATTGATTCACAAACACACTCTCTACAACTCTTTGTCGTAAATTCTAGTCTAGTAATAATTATGTCACTGCTCGTTTTTTGAACCAGATCCACGACATTGATCCGTCAAAAACAAAGACTCAGATTCTTTCATCAGTCATGTTCTATCCTGGGCACCTTCTAATGTTATCGAAACAAGCATTGACGCTGGCAGAGATTAAAGCAGCTTTGTCCAAGGACAACGATCCGAAAACAGCGGACACAGGCGAAAGTACTGCTGGCCCTGGACCCGAGGACGTATATTACCATGCTTTTTGATCAGAAGTGGTGCATCCTTTCCCCATTGCAATGGTAATCGTCCTTTAGAAGTTACTAGTCAGGCAGAGATTTAGGTTTTACTTCTACGACATCGTAGCTCTACTATGACCATACGAAGACCTACATGGTGAAATTCATCAATGAATACCTCCAAAATAAATTGCCATTTCGTGATAGCTATGAAAATTAAATTGAAAGAACAACTCACCTCTCACCAGGACCAACTTCTATATCCTCTATTGCCATTGCGGTTTCATTTAGATATTATGATTTCTTTCAGGCTCGCGGTCTTGGTTTTGCGCCTCATCGAAGTGCTGCACTAGAAGCAAAGAAGGTAGCGCTTTTTGGGCTGGATGCGGAGCTCGACGGCGCAGCAGACGAGAAAGTTAAGTGATCTTTTTCTGAAGAGATCCATCCTTTATTTCCATAACTATTTGTGCATACGCATACTACTAGATACTTACTCTTACTACTTAGTCTCAACAACAAGAATAGAAAGATGAAAACATACATGTTGATGATGGGCAGTTCTTTTTAACAGGCTTCTATTAAATTAATAAATATTATCCTCTACTTGTTTTTGCTTCTAAAGAAGCGAAAAGTAGATCTAGGTCACACACTTCTCCATAATGCATGCTTCTATTTCTAAGAAAAACGGAGATGAAGCGGATGGAGAGGTGACCGAGAAGGCAGCACTCTCAGTGGAAGATCTTGCGGCAGCTGCGAAAGCGGAAGCTTTGAAGAAATATGGCGCGACAGTGGGTGCTTCGGTACCGAATGGCGAACAACAGGCATCCGCTGATGATCGGGAGGAAGACGTCCAAGTAGGTGAACAAGGTAGTACTGCATCTGCAGTTGGAACAGGAACTGGAACAACAGGAGGACCACATAATGCTAAAAAGCAGGGCGCAACTTCTTCTTCTTCTGCGGGACTACATCAGGGACTTTCATTGTTAGCGAATGTCGAGATGCTAAAGCGGAAGCGCCCAGCGGATTTGACGAAGGAAGAGCGCAAGTTCTTGAGGAAGGACGAAAAAAGACAGAAGAAAGTCGAGAAGAAAGAGAAGAAGAAGGTGAAGAAAGAGGCAAAGAAGGAAAAGCGAAGAGCAAGAAAGGAGGAGAAAAAGGAAGCGAAAAGGATGAAGAGACTACTGACCGAAGCCATTACAAATGCGACAGGTGGAAACGCTAGCGCTTCTGCACCAGGACAAGGACTCTCCAGTACAGGAGACAAAGGAACTGGAACGAATGCTAAAAATAAGAAAAGGGGCAAGAATCACGATAGGTGTGACGATGTTTCTGACATCAGTAGTGACGATGAAGAAAAGACGAATCTACGGAGTAGGAAAAAACAAAAGAAAGACAAAGATGCAGGAGTGAAGGGCAAGAAATCATCAAAGAAGAAAAGAGGGCACTCCTCCTCATCAGACTCATCGTCTTCTGACAGCGAGTCCTCCGAAGCCAGTTCCGGATCTGACTAGGCGAGTTGGACATAAACACCATGATAATCCTGAAATACTGAAATGAGGACCCCTCCTCCTCCACCTTCTCGGACGACAAGAACGACAACTTCTATATCGACATGATATTTTTAATACTACTATCCTTCGCCTTCCTTTTTCTTTTCCTAGTTAGCTTGGCTCCACCCGTGTCGTAATATTATCGTGTTTGTTACTCCCACGACACCAGCCCCTTTCACAAACCGTTGTTTGGTATGAAGACTCAGAAAAATTCCGTGGCCGGACACGACGATCACATAGCAACACTTCAAATCAAGGCAAAACAAGAACATTCAATTGTTCAAAAATCGGTTTTGTGAGAATATTTTGGATGTCGACATTTGCTTATTTGGGAGAAGAAAAATAAGAGTCGTGTCATTCTCTCGCTTTCGGTCGAAATGTGCTGTCTCGGTTTTCGATAGTATTCTCGTCAGTTTCTGTCCTGAAAATCGGTATATGAAACGAAGGCAGTACTCGTGTCGGCTATTGCAAGCAGAGTTAGAGTACTTCATTGTCATTCCAACCGGGTAGAGTAGAGATAGCAGTACTCGTACTCCATTGCTGCAAGTAGAGTTAGAGCACTCCATTTGAATTTGTTCGCCCAAACTGTTATCGACCCAAAATTGATCAAGAAGTGCTTGCTTGTTAGGGCGTTGTATCGAAGAGTCGTCGTGGAAAAGTTGTCGTAGAGTTTTTAGATCATGACGCTCGTCCCAGCTCTCTGTGGAAAAGTCGTCGTAGAGTTTTTAGATCATTACGCTCGTCCCAGCTTTCTGTAGCAGACTCTTTCATACTAGATGCAATTTACTTCTAAATCTTAAATGCAAGAAGAGCATAGGTGTAAATAGAGAAAGAGAAAGCAAAAACAAAAAGGCGTACCAAGACAGATATCTTGTTCTTTTCTTCAATACGGTAGTTTTTGGTTAAAAAATGGATCGACCAACTACTGCTTATGATCCTTATGTTGACTATAATGAATTTGATGAAAGTAGTACTGGTAAACACAAAAAGAAATGAGAACGACCACGAACACCTGCTCCTCAAGGATGACAAAAAGAAATATGATGCGTTCATCTGCCTGCGCAATGTCGTCTTCTTGTTGCAACTCCTCGACGTCGCCGAGAAGTCAACAACCCCGCGCTGTTGTTAATCCTCAACATCTCTCACGCAGACGGCGTCGTGGCCCATGCTGCAGAGGGCGTTTCTTTGCACTCCTTTCTGTTGGTACTACTTTGGGCAGCGATATCATTGATCGGGAGAGTCACAGTGATGAAGGGAAGGCTTCTCCTGTGAGTACGAGCAGTCGTGGGAAGAGAAAGCATGCTGCAACTACCGCATCTTCTACCAGAGGGCACCAGGAGAACCTGGCTGATCATGAACATCGGCATTTTGATTTTACGAAGCCTGATAGTAATGTTGATGATGTTCTTGACGACGACGAAGAGGGAGAGGCGGCCAGCGACATTTTCTACTCAAAATCTTCAAGGCCTGCTGATGAAGAAGACGACACACAAAACGAGATGCTTCTTGAGGACAGAAATACGTTAGAAGTAGAGGACCAAGACCAACTAGAAGGCGACGATTCAGACGCGGGTCAAGAGAGCGACCGATTAGAACACATACTAGCTGTTTCAACATCAGGAACACAAAGGTCTTCAGGAGAAGGACAAGAGGAGTCAAGAAGAGCACAAAAAAATACAGCAAAACGAAAGGAGCGCACCAGACAACAACATCCTCCACAACGTAGAAGTAGTGTCCGGCATCGAGGACATCGACGCACTGCTCACGACCATGCTCTTCAGGTTGACGAACAGCACCAAGAACTAGAACATCATGATCCTCATGGTGATTCCCATAATTATCATGAAATAAAACAGCCGCATCATGTCGTGTCCTCTAGTGCTCGTCTTGAAGACAATGACGATGATCACGACTACTCGAGAACTTCTTCATCCGGACGTGGACGTGGAAAGACTAGGATGAACATGATCCAGCGAGATGATAGTACAACATCTTCTTCAACTGATGTTGAAGACAAAACTACGACGACTAACGCTCCACCAGAGGAAGATGCAACACCATCAGGATCAGGTGCGGAGCCTGGGAGACCTCTTAGTCGTAACGAAAGTGGAGATCGTTCATCATCTAGTTCTGGTTCTAGTTCTACTGCTCTATCCTCTTCAGCCGGTCGAGGTCGTCGTACTAGTACTTCAAAAAAGAACGAGAAGAAAATACCAAACGGTGGTCGTAAAAAAAAGTCTAATGTCTCGTCTCGAAGACGACAGCACACGAGGGGACAGCAAAACGAGACTCCCTTTGAGGCAGTGAAGGAAACAAACGCCTTAGTGGATAAAAAGAAGAACAGGAGACCAACAAGTAACCCAAGAACAACATCAAAACAGAAAATGGACAACAGCAAAAGTGGAGGAAATGAACGTGGGTCTCGTGCTAGCATAGAATTCCGTGAAGACGGAGCTCTTGAATATGAGGGTGATTTAGAAGAGCATGCAGATGGCCCACGACGGAAATCCTCTGGCAGGCAAAGCTCTGCCTCATCACGATCACGGCATCATCACCAGCAGCTGCACCATGGACATCGTATGACGAAACGCCCAGCACGTGGCAGTGGAAGCAGTGGAGAACAAGACGAGGTGAAAAAAATAACTACAACAAGGAAGATGCTGAGACAAGAAGATCAACGGACGAGGCCAAATTTGAGAGAAGATATCGACGAGGAGAACGACAACGAAGACCTATACAAAATAGATGCTCGACATCATGCAACTCAGACAACACGAGGTAGAGGAAGACTAGTTCGTCGACACCCTAAGACTTTACCGCAAAGCGAAGCAAACGAGAAAGATACAGGAGACGCATTAGCCGAGCCATCAAGACCAAGTGATGCTGAGCTGGTAGATGTAGAAGCAGATGGAGCTGTTGAACTCGAAGATGGACCTGCTGATATTGTCCAGGGAGAGTTGGAGAATAACCGTAAAAACGTCGATTTTTACGAAAAAGTAGACCAAGAACAAGATGACGAGAGTGGTACACGACAAGAGTCAGAGATGCTGACGCAAGAAGAGGAAGCAGAGGATGATCTTCCTTTTCCTAGCAGTCGTGAAGAAGAAGATTCCACCGCATCGACATCACCAGATGAGGAAGGTGAAGATGAAGATTACGCACGACTCGTCTCATCTGGTGACGGTTTGGATTCCTCTACAGCCACTCCTCTACAACCAATTGCTTCTCATCATCGTGGTGCTGCTTCTGAAGATTATTCTTTACTACTACACAACAAGCATCATCAAGTTCAAGGTGAAAGATCTTTCAAGAAAAGGGCTTCTGTGGAACAACAACAACGCAGTACGAAACAGCAGATTCCTTCCGACACGAATCCTGTAACCCAAACATTGGTCTTGAACAAGAACAACGAGACTAGTACATCAAGTCGAAGTCCCCAAGGACAAGATGTGCAACATGCGAAACCGATGCGCAGCATCGTCTATCGTAGTATGTTCAACGCAACCTCAGCAGAGAAGACGACGTCCGTCTATTACACAGACAATAAGTGCCTGCAGAGTCACAAAACAATGATACCTTTGGTCGTTACGACACCTGTGAAGCAGTGTGAAATTCGAAGATTCACCGAGGATCTTGGAGACAGCACGAGAGAGGGCCGGACCTTATACTTCTCCGCAAGGGTGGAGTCGTACATAATTTCATTCCTTATTTTCTTGTTGACATTTTCAACTTCTTCACCCATATGGATCTTCAACATTTTTCGAGCATAGAATTTGATCTAGAGCTTGATCTTCAATGTCTTAACTGTAAGTAAACAATATCATGTAATGAATGTATCATTTCTTCATCTTTTCCTTCACCCATTATAATATGGACATTCACTCAAGAACTCAATATCCTACAACCAGGTGCACTTCTGTCCGCGTCTCATATACGATGTTTGCGTCGAGCAATTGCGATCCAAGCACCGCTAGTCCCTTGCAGGAAACCACACCGGACACCTGCACTCCCATAGGCGGCGGCCTCTTTACGAAATTCGAGTGCGGACTTCGAGAGTATCCGCCTGATTACCACAAGAACTGGGACTCTCACCGCTTGTTTTCTTGGCGCAGCACTACCCAATTCGAGGAAGCGGAAGCGTTTCATGGTCACTTGTATCTCTGTCGCGACCAAAAAACGTTGAAGGGATGCTACAGTTAAGGCATACAACTTTAAGTATGATACTCACCTGCCAATGTGTATCTAAATTTAATTGTAGTACAACCTTGGGTAGTTTAGTGATAGTGTATTATTTCGGTATATATTGAAAAAAATTGCTAGAAAGCAGGTGGTCACCGTTACATACTACGGGTAGATGGAAGGAAGGAGGTATAGTTCGTCCTCAGGGAAAAGCAGAAGGAGAAAAAACGCACTACTAGCACTACTAATTGAAGTTGTAGCGGCCAAGCCCTAATACACACAGAAGCCCGCGTCAGCGAATGATCCGTCTAGCATGGCAGGGAGTAGTGGAACGACAACAATCGATGGGTCTATTGCGTCATCAGGTGGGGTCTTAGCGAGTTCGGCGTCTGCGGCAGCGAACTTTGTAGAGTCAGACTATCGACTAGAAATCTGTCCAGGATACGTTCCAGCCGCCTCACAATTTCGCTCTGGGTCTAGCGTAGAACTACAGAAAGTCGGATGTCCAGTGTTTATGCATATTGTGTTTTGAATCTTTGTGCGTGCAAGTAGTTTACGTACAAGTTTCGACAGAAAATCGTCACAAGACATCAAAGATATCAATCTTCTTGTTGAATTAGCCTTTTCACTTTTGATAGTACCTTGTATGCCACTAGCAACATTGCCATGGCTCTAATCTGTACAAGGCCCACGGCGCAAATGAGCTTGCTTTCCAAGGATGGACATTCAAACCAGAGGGAGTCGTGCGCTATCCAAGTGAAAGCGCCTTCAAGGACCCGACAACCTGCGATTTGAATTATGAACTATGCTTATTAAATAGTATACTTATCCATCGTGTTTCAGAAATTGGATTGTGTTTCAGAAGTCGATATCGAATTTGAAATACTACTTGAAACATCATGAAAGTTTGTGTCTCCGATGAAATTCATAGTTCTTGTTTGATGAGATTTCTGAAGATTCTTTCAGTACCTTGTTCCTCTTCCTGTTTGATTTCCTCAGTACTTTGCTCTTTAGAGGACGTACTTATCATGCGGATGCATACTAATAGATCTTCTGAATTGAAAATATCAGTGTCAGTACCTTGCTGCTCGTCTACTTCCTTCTCTAATACCAAGTCTCTCTGTATTCTTCCCATTATCAGCTAGATACGCATGACCATACGTTTGGACAGGGTGAGGTCAGGATTGGGGAGAACGGCTTCGTGCAGGACCAACGGACGGAAACGATGCGCGACCCTTCGACTTTGCAGTACAAGTTCATCCTCCAGCCTCACCATTTGGTTTCGAGTCAGACGGGGAGGTCGTATTAAGGCCAGATTTCCTAGGCTTATACTAGAAGAGTTAGTTTATAAAACGGATGTAGGATGGACTTGGATGGATCGGATGGACCCCCCCCGATTCTTCCGATCCTACTTGAAATCGTGGGAAGTCCATCCGATCCATCCCATCCCGGACCTGGCACCCCTGGCCCTGTAAGGCCAGACTTCGTAGCTTTATACTGGTGCTGATTCCACCGATGATCCTGATAGGCCAGACTTCGTAGTTTTATACTGGTGCTGACCCCGATGATCCTGATGACCCACTGTTAGGCCCATCCTCTAAATTTCTCAGCACGTGTCAGCTATAGGATCTGCGCAAGTGTCTGCCATGCAAGGACCGAGTAAGCCAAATGAAGCTGATAACCTGTATTGGCTGATCCGGGTCGCGTGTGTGAAACCACCTAAGTTACGCAAAGATGTAGACCTAGACTACGAGATTGTCTTGCCTTGATCATGTGTTGTTTCCTTTCGATAACTTGCTTCTTAATCATTAAGTGTTGTCTTGTTTCATCTTCGTTTTGGCTTATTTGATTTTCAATCGAATTAGATGATCTAAATGGCTGTGTGCAGAAGCAGAAGCAGAAAAACCTAAGAAGTTAGTAAGTCCTTTCTAACCGCAGAATTGCTCGATGCAGAAGCGGTCAGTTTTGAGGGTGGCAAGTACGGGTGTGGAAATTACCTCTGCTCAGAGGCATTCGTTGATCCCGATGGCCGCTTGCTAGACGAGGGAGGAGGAGAACCGGGTCTCAGTAATTCATCAGCCGTTGTCGAGTTATCTGGCGATGAAAGCACGTTCCACGGTTTGCGCACTTGTACTCGAAAACAAGATGCATCCCGCTTTGTCATCTTGCCGAATACGATTACGCAAATTTCGAAGTTGTACAAAAATCCAATGCAACGGCTGAACTGTTTGTCGCAAGTTTCCTTACCGCCAAGGCTATCCTTGACCCCTCCCTCAACCGTTTCTGCAGAAGTCTTGCGTCAATTGATGGAGCAATCGGCGGTGAACGACCCAGCTACACTGGTTAATCTTAAGGCTCGACGTCTAGAAGGCAGTATTTACCAAGAGACTAGTGCAAGCAGGTCCAGGTGCTGAGACTTTTGCTTCTACTAAGGACTTCCTATTCCTCGTAACTACACAAGAAGCTCTTGGATGTTCTTGATGTGCAGCAAAAAATCAGAGTCTGCTTTTTACGAGACATCCAGCATGCCAAAGTAGAAGTAGTACAGAAATTTTATCACTGTTTCTTCTTTCAGATTCACTTTATTCACGCATTATAGTTACCCTTCTAACACTCGCGAGGTGACACCCGAAGACGAGTGGGATTATATCAAGCATGCCATGGCCATCTGGGCATCGGTTCTTCTCATAGTAGGGGCTTTTGCGGTGATGGTCCTCTGGCTATTCTGGTTTACCTACAAACACGAACATCATGACATGTACTACGAAAATTCTTCAGTTTTGTTTTCCTTTTCTTTTCCTTTTCTTTGAATACGTCAACGGGGGTCACGCTCAGGTTTGATCTTCATGGTTATGCGATCTGACAAGGTCATTGTAGAAAGAGAGATTAGGAAGGATGGTATCAACATGATCGTAGATAATGCTACTGTCATGGTTCGCTTACGAAACCGTACTTGTTCTTACATCCTGCTCTGCCTTTTCCTCCAGGTATGATCGCAAGCATGCAGTTGAGCCTACTGAGATGCCGCTTTTGCCGACAGTCGCTACTGACGTCTTCGGCGAACACGTTGTTCACAGTACTGACAGAGACGATCAAAGTAGAAGTAGAAGAGATCGAGGTGGTGGAGGAGGAGCCGACCAGATACTTCAGATATATGATGAAGACGGTGACAGTGATGACGACGGTGACAGCGGTGACGACGGTGACAGCGGTGACGACGCTGGAACGCCGTCCGAGACGAGTAGCGTGGAGTCACTTGACATGTTCGGATTGAAATCTGGAGCAGCAGGTGTCACTTTGAGAAAAAATCAAGAGCTCGCGAAACGTGTTGGCGATATTCGAAATGACAAGATCAAAAATGATGACGAAAAACGAAAAAGTTGGAGAACAAGTAAGAAGGGACGAGAAGCTTCAGCAGGACGAGAACGTGAGGAGGAAGAAGCTCCTGGCGTACTAGGACGAGGAGAAACCAAGAAAAGATCAGAATCTGTACCACCTTCTGCAGGAGCATCTTCGTCTAGAAGCAGTAGTGCTTTGCGTTCAAAATCAGTGGAGGACCCTTCTAGGATCTCAACTACACTAGAAGCGACTGAATCTGATGCAAAAAGACAGACTCGCGCGGTTACCTTTCAAACAACTGGCGAGCTTACGCGCCTAAGCAGAGGAGCCGGTGGACGTGGTTCTCTAGTCAAGCTCCCTGCAATAGGCATGGAACGAAAGAAGGGTTTGAAAATAAGACCGCCGTCTAGCGGTGACGCTCAACGGCATGATGATTCCAGAAGTGCCGCATCAGCTTCTTACCACAAGAAGTTTATATCCAAGGATCATACATTATTAAGGCTACCGCCCAAGCATCCTCAGCGTCTTCCTTGGCCCTTTTTTTACTCAAGAAATGAGCCAAGGATGCACTCAAGGATCGATGCTAACGCGGTAGGTCTAACATTTATCAGCGCCATAGGTGAAGCCCTATTACCAGGCATCAAGCACTCTCTCACAACCCCAGTCCAGGACGACGACTTTTCAGCGCCAGAGGGCTATTGCATAGACTCAACAACTGTTATGGGTGAAGGGAAGTCATCTCCCAAGTCATCTGAAAGAAGAAATAGAAAACAAGAAGAAAATGAAGCGAGCCAGAAGATGACTCCTGAGATGAGAATTTCCTATACCTCTAAAACTGGGTGTCTGCGCCCTAAAATGCCTCCTATCAGTGCGTTCCCAGGCAAGCGCATTCCGACGCTGCAGGAAGTCGCTCTTGGGGAGCATCTAAGCCAGGATCCGGGTGAGAGGATGTACCCACACGCTAACGGTCTCGCAAACTCCAGAAGCTCCGGAGTGCATGGAGCTCGATACGTCGAGAAGAGTCGGTTGGACGAAGCATGGGAAAATTATGGAACGGATGTTCCTCTTCAATCCTCTTGCCTCTTCAATCCTCTTGCCTCTTCAATCCTCTTCAATCCTCTTCAATCCTCTTCAATCCTCTTCCTCCCTCTCCTCACGCTAACATGTTCTGACCGGTCTTCCAACGGAGGGCTTTGGTGAAACCCCTATACCTTTTGAACATGTGCCTGCAGATCAAGGATGCCTGATGAACCAGAGTGCTGACGAACACCACGGTTACCATGAAGCGCATTTGCCTTAAGGCTACCTATTTATTCGCACCATAGTCCTTAACACCGTAGTCCTTGGAGATTCCTTTTCTACTTGAAAAAGACGCCAAGGATGTTCCCAAGGTTGCCAATGCGGTCGCTCTAATTGCCGCACAAAGCCATGGGTGGCATCGAGCCCGGTTCCTTCCACGCCTTTAGAGCGAGTGACGCGCCACATGGGGCACTGGATGCGAGTGGAAATTTTATGGCAGATCATGATGAAGGGCAATGTTAATTCAATGGTGGTGGTCGATGAAGATAGTATATAATTTTCAAGATCTTCGACCCAGTAACTACAAGTCTTTTTATTAGCCTGGCTGTTGTACTAGCTTTCGTAGATTTTGCTTCCAATGATTTGCGGCACCCAATCGACCACGTAGAAGAACACTACGGAACCATGGGCCTGCAGATACGATTGGAACAACAGCATCAACGCGAAAACGCTCGTTTAGAACAGGAAAGGAGTGGAGCTGGAGCGGAGAAGAAGCTGATGATAAAGCCCAACCAGAAAGGATCAAATGCTAGTTCTCTCGGAGATCATGATGAAGATCCTAGTCCTCCTACTGACGACGAACAAGAAGATGCTGATAAGGAAAACAACCGCCTCAGCTCTAAGACCACTGAAAATATTAACGCAACTTCTGCGAGTCGTGCCTCTTCTTCATCCTCTGCGCAAAGTGCAAATGGTCCTAAAAAGACTAGAAGTGTGCGTTACAGCCAGGGTCCTGTGGATAGAAGTCAGCCTAGTTTTACAGCGCTCGATAGAATACGCAGAAACCTTGAGGGGAAACAGCAATATGGAGAAGCAGAACTGAATTTGCTGACAGGCGACGCGTCACCAACTAATATCGTCACGGTTCACCATGAAGAACATCCTGATGGCGATAGCCTCCTTTGAAGTGGTAGTGGAGACCAAGAAGAAGAAAACTCAGGTTTAGATGACAGCATATGCATACTTACACAAGATGATACATAAGAGACTTGATTCACGTCTGGGAACAAATATACTGAAGATAGAAATAGTGATAGTCGTCTTTCCATTTTTCTCTGAGGGAGACAAAGGATAGCTGTCTTACTTTTGGTTTTCATCTATGCTAAAAAGCGCTTTCATTTATACTAAGTGCATACCCCGTGAGTGGGTACATCTATCTATCTCTCTTTCTATCTATCAGTATGTTGCTCTGCATGGACTAATACAGATACATCGAATGCATTTATTATTCTAGTGCCAAAGTCAATCATTTAATATCGAATAGTATGTGTGAATTTCATTTTTCAGGTTTGTCATTGCACATGATGAAGATGAGTGTCTATGTCATTGGATTTGCCTTGTGATTTATTACTAAGTTGTACGTCGCAGAACTGCTTCAAAGAAGAAATATTGACATCGCGGCCTAAGATGAGCTAAGCATTATTGAGCTACACCTTTCTTGTCGTTGCCTCTCATCCCTGGATAGAAAACAGTTACTCCATGTGGCTAGAAACTAGTTGCACAAATCCCCATTTGCAGCTATCGTTGCTGTTCATCGAAATGATCCCCCTACCCGTAAATGAGCTTGATTTTGTGAAATGTTCAACATGTTTCTCGTCGATAATCATTATCTGATAATGCAACCACTTAAAAATATTGAGCTGAGAAGTGAAGAACAAACTATTGCTAGTCCTAAACGAGCTAAGAACAAGAAGAACGAGCTATTGCTAAGAACAAGAAGAACGAGCTATTCCTAAGATCAAAATGAACGAGCTATTCCTGAGATCAAAATGAACGAGCTATTGCTAAGAACAATAAGAACGAGCTATTGCTAAGAACAAGAAGAACGAGCTAGTAAGTTAGAAGTATCTAGTGATGGCTAACGATTTGACAAGTCGCGTGCTGACAAGTGACAAGCTAGAAGTGAACTAGTCGTATTTCTAGTAAGAATTCTATTTTCAACACAAGAAGTGGAAGGACTGTGACCAAGATGAAGAACTTTGATAGAAGCAAAAAGTCTGCACCACAACCATTAGAATTCCAAGGACGAAGTAAGCTGTACCAGACCCGTAGCAGTTTGCTAAGGCAGCTATTAGTACTTGCGAACAGCTGCGACGTGTTGATTCTTTCGATACGACTAGTACAAGGAAAGGAACTCTCAACTATAGTACGTTGATAACCGTTCTAAGCAACCAAGGAACGGATTGTCGTCTCGTCGTTTGAGATGCGTCGATTTTTGACATGCGTCGACGTTTGGCAGAGCTATCGTTACGATAGAAAATAATTGATCATTATGGCATCGGTCACTCGACATCGAGGTCGACGAATTTGGGTGATCTCGTTTCTCGCTACCTCATTTGTTATGGTCATCGTCGTCTTTGTTATGGTCATTTTGATTTTCTTGAGTTTGAATTATATTTCCCCATTTCTAGTGCAAAAGTAAGAGTAATTCTAGTCCTTCTCTTCATCTCAATTCACACCCGACGAGAAAAAAATGGGACCCTCATCCTCGTTCTTTTCATTGGTGGTCTGTGTGCTGCAAGCGGCAGTTGTTGCCAGCATTGCGAGACACGACTCAGACAACCTAGTCACTTTTCGTGCGTCAGTCGATGCAGACGGGGTACTTCTAGGTGGAGAGGAACTACTAGTTCAAGAAATAGAACAAGGTGAGTCCTCTGCTTCATCTTTCCTTGAAAAAGTGGTGATGAACCAAGCACTAGCAGTCGACGTAGTTCCAACACGATATTCGTCAAGCACCAGAACTCCTGATGTTCGCCTTGCTTCATCACCAAGTAATAGAATCGTACGTCCTTTGTCTTCCTCGCTTTCGTCTTTTGTGGAACAACATCAACATCATGCTCAGGCGAAGTCGAAGAAGTTAACTAGTAAAGAGAAGCATGATCGTCCTGTTGCTACTCCCCGAGCATCTATTAACGTCAGATTGTCCGGCACATCAGAACATCGTACTCATCGTACTCCTACTCTTCAAAAACAACAGCCAGATCCGACATCAGATGCAGACGTAGATCTCATCTCCATGCAACATGATTTGCAGGAAATAGCGGAATTCGACGCAGATCATGGTGGCTTGATGCACGGGTTTTTCAAGCTAGCACATCAGGTTGGACGTTTCTTCTCAACTTCGCTTTTTTTCACACCTTCCCCTGGACCTCTGCTGTTGAAAGAAAGGTCGCAAAGCAGAACTAGAACTGGTTCTAATCGTGAGAGTACTGATCAGACTCAGGATTCATCTTCCGCGAGTGCGACGCAAGGAAGTGGGTCCTCAGCAAGAAGCGTTGCCGGTTCTTCCTCCGCCCTATCTTAAGGTCAGCCTTTATCCATCCATCTGTCTCGTCGGCATCTTGGTACCCTTTTCCCTTGTATTCTCAATCTCATGATGAGATACAAGGGAGATACGGGGTCAAGATGAGGGGGCCGCGATGCAAAAATCTAGCAGACTCTAACTATCATCCGAGGAAAGTGCACATGATCTTCATCTAGGGGAACAAAAACTCCCTCAAGCTCAAGGCCTCCTGTCATCTATTTCTATACAGAGGAGCGTGCGAGGACATGATCTTCAGAGGAGGGGAACAACCGCAAAAAGTCCTTCATCAGTGTTAGGATACCTCGTCATCGCGATCTTTTGGAGTGCTCTTTTTTTCTCAATCGCTCTCGTGGTTGGTGGTGCTGTAACTTTCGATAAGACCAGGTGGATCATACCCGATATGACGACTGGAAGTGGTACAATCGAAGGTACTCATGCTCATCTTCATGTTGGATCAATAAGTACAGCCAGGAGTACGACATCCACCATGGGAGAGGATCAGCAAGGGAGTAACTTTATTTCGTCATCGTCTTTAACCTCCGTCGCCTGGATGAAAAAAGTCGAGCGTGTAGAAGCTGGAGGACTAGCAAATAAAAAGGGATCGACTGCAGGCGCTACTATAAGTGTGACCTCGTCCAGCACAGGTAGAACTACTAAGACCGGAGAAAGCAAAGGGACGAAAGGGTCAAAATTAATGGACAAGAAGGGATCTTTACCGCCGTCTCAGAAAGGCAAAGCTCCAGTCGTAGCGAAAAGACCGTCAACAGCAGAAGCAACACAATCGCAAGCATCAACTCCAGCTGCACCAAATACAAGTAGTAATGTTAGTAAAACAGGAAAGAAAAAGAATAGCATGAAGACGAACAATCAGCAAGGTAAGCAGCTGCAAGAAGACAATGCTAATACCACTAAAGGACCCGGAGCGAGTAAGAAGGGTAAGGGTGGTAGCGAATCTGTCGCTGCTGCTAAAAAAGGTCCTTCAGATGTCACGGAACGCGTAGTCACAACCGAAAAGAAAAGCGAGGAGACGGACGTACTACAAGAACTACTTGTACTTTATATTCACAACTCTACTGCTGCTGCTCGTACTAGTGCTTAATAGTGTCAGTACTAACTATGATTGATTCCATATTAGAGCAGTTGGTTTTAATGTGAGTGAACTTGTTTCTCAAACCTGATAAAGGAGTAGAATACTCTTCATACAACTAAGTAATGACTCATTTACTCTATGAAGGTACCAAGTGCAACACCGGCTTCCGCAGCTGCAGCTGTGCCCCTTTCATCGCCCAAAACAGCGTCCAAGAGCGCCACAACAGCCTCCAAGAGCGCCAAAACAGCATCGAAGAACTCTACCATGGAACTGGATGCGCAACTTCAGCAGGTTGATCTCCTCTCTGACGTCCTCGTGCCTTCAGCTAATGCACCAGCAGAAAGGCGGAAAGAGCTGATTGCTTCATCTCATACCAATGCCAGTTCAACGAATGGCAATAGTGAGGAACAAGAGACCAGCTTGATTGATGATCCGATGCAGATCTCATCTTCCAAAGAGGACAATAAAGAACATCCCAGAAGTAGTTCCAGTTCGTCTAGTTCATCAACGACTGCAGAAGATGATCATCTGTCTAGTAGTGGCGCAGTGACGTCGAGTGCCATGAATTCATCGTCTGGGAGCGAAGAGGAACAACGCGAAGATAAGGTGGAGAAGAAGATGAAAACAACCAAAGCGGACGAAACCATGACCATGGCGGCTACATCTTCAGTGTCTACCTCTACTTCGACAGTGCGAGGAAGAACTACGAAGGAGGCAGAACAAGCTCGTCAGCACGTAGGTGTGAGTATGAGTAGCAGCACAACTACGACCTCGACGTTATCCCATCATCATCTGCAGACTCTGCCCCGTGCCCAAGACGATGACTTTGCAGTTGTTGAGATTTACAGGGTGTCAGGCTTCGGACGAAATGTCAAGAATGACAATGCTCCTCGTGGAGGTGGAGGTCCGCAGAGGTTTGCTTTCTGCACGGTTAGCTTTTCATGTGGTGAGGGTCTATCTGGTCGTGATGCTGGTCCTCTACCTCTACGAGGAAATGGAAAAACCATGATGGAATCTCCAATCGTCCCTGTTTCCGACTCATCTGGCAAGGCGAAGTGGGATGGATTTCGTGAACAGATTCCCTATGATGGCGAGGCTTTGGAGGTGGTTTTCCGAGTTTTTCTGTCTTCATCTTCAACTACATCGCAAGGACAAGGAGAAGAAAACGCACTGCAACTAGGAGTACGAGATTCAGAACAAGATGTAGATCAAGGTCAGCTTGAGCTGCTTGAGGAAGGTTTACAACTCGAGCTCCAAACTCCACGTCTTGGCATGGACCACCCCCTAGTTTCGAACGCAGCGCGCAACCTACTCCGAGTGCCACAAGAAGTGATTCGCACGATAAGCAAGAATAGCAGCAATGGAGGAAGTTCTGGCGCCGCAGCAAGCAGAAGTAGAAGCCAGAGTAGGAACAACAGCAAGAATACTACCATTTCTGTATCTTCATCTCGTCACGTTCTTGGAGATGAACATGACAAAGAATCTCTTCTTCAGTACGAGATGAATCAGGTAGGAACATCTACTTCGATAACTACCTCTTCAGCTTCTTCCACTTCCTGTATCCGCAAGAATGGGATGAATTTCTTCCCCTTCGGGCAGTACACATTGCGGATCCGCAAATATCCTGGAGGCCCTTGCTTGCTGCAAAAAACAGATGAAGTGGAACTGCAATTGGACAATGTTCACGATGGGGATGTTGGGAGTGATGGTGGCAGTGGTACTAGAGGCAAACTAGCCTTTCGCTGGGAGCTTTTCCGTACCCCGCGAAGCCGTAGATTAAGGCTTCCCCTAATCCATCTCTAGAGAGATCCCTCAACCGTATGGATGCGCCCCAATGCAAGGGGAATTATAGTGACGCATACGCTTGACGGATTTCCACAGGGATGAACTAGGGACAGGCCTAAGTAGAGGCTCTCAACGCTCGAGCAGTAGGCGGAGCAATGCTAGCAGTATAGTAGACCACGAGCGTTTTAGTAGTGTCATAGACGATCAATATGGCACGCCACTGGAGAAATTGGGTACGCCGTTGGACTCGTTGACAAAGTCAAAAAAAAGTGGAGAACTTTGAAGAATGGGGGCTTGTACACTGGTGCGAGAAGATTCCAGGCAGTAAGTAGAAGTGAATGTAGTTATTAGAACATGACCTCATCAGTTTTATAGATGAAGCCCCCAATTGTTGCTGAATATGAATGCTGACTGTTAACTCGAATTTCTTTAAAAGTAAATTTGTGTCATCCCCTCATTCCTGTTCGTGCTTCATAGAATTCCAGAACTAACTTACTTCTTGTTAACGATATTACTGTCATGATGAATTTAACACGCAAAAGTAGTTGATGTAGATGTACGGGGTGGACATTTTTATTTTTTACGAGAACCAAAAGCAATACTAGAGGATCAACTACAACTTCTAGAAGAAATATTTAGGATTTAACAAGCACCGTGTGCATGAGATTTTGAGGTCCAAGCATAGGTACAGACAAATTCCTAGAAAAATCTTGGACCTGGAGCAGAGCATGATCGTATTATGTAGTTTCAAACCCAATGAACAGGTGCGCGATATCCCCGAGTGTACAGAAACAAATAGACTGGTCCATGAATCATGTATCAACTACCTAGCGACGCGATTCTTCACGAAATAAGTATTAGCGCCTTCAAATTCGCCTCCCATATTCCCGGCAGTTTGTGGAATGCGATTATTCAAAGAACGAGAAATAATCGGGTACTACCACGATGAGAAATGACTTCTCTCAACTTTCCTCGAGGACGTCGCTCGATAGCCTTCGATTTCGTTCGATTGCATCAAGAATTGCTGACGAATCATAATTTGATGAGTCTCTCAAAAGATGTTCGCAGAACGAGTTGTTGTTGTTGTTGATGTAAGTACCATCGTGCTTCAGACGAGACGTTGAACATCCATGATGGATTGCCGCTGTTCTCGTTTGTTTGTCGTGATGTGATATTGTCATAACTATGAACGGTGAATGAAGATGAACCTTGACCTCGTGTCACAGCCTCTTCAGGAAATGTTACGTTGAGTGACAAAGCGTCCGCGTCGCGCATTTTGCTTTTCAACACTTCTACAAGAGTTGTTGTATTCGCAAAAGACTACAAGACTCATATTCGCAAGATAGAACCTAACCCCTTCTGGCAACTCGATTTGATGATGATGACCCGCTCATTTTTGCGCTCAGGAGTATGTCTTGTCGATGGGGTTGACGAGCACGACCAAGAAAGTTAAAACGTGGACTTCTGACTGATGCCATAGCTTCCTAGCTGATCTTGATTGACGAGGGCTGTTTGATATTGAAAATGTGGCTTTTCTTGTTCATTTAACAACGTATTGGTATTCTTTGACTTACATCCACCAGTTCCACCACATAGTAATATAGCGATAGGTTAGTAACATCAATAAACTCACTGTGTTCATTCGTGTATTATCTGTTCAGTAGTTTTCTTTTTACATCACAAACAAAATGGCGCTACCGTCATCAGAGGAGAAGTATCTGGTCTGTTGCTTGCACCGCCTGCCCAACTGCGTGGACCAGCAACTTCCCGACATAGTGCAGATCTACAACAGTACCGTGATTTATTGAAGTAGTTTTTTCTAAGTTTACTGGTACTGGTTGTAGGCTATGATCTCCAGAGAGTAGTTCGTTGTGGATCACTACACTGCTATGTCGTTGTCATTTGTCAAGAAAAATAGAGTATGCCGCCACTCTCATAGTACACGCAAAGATACAGATCTACAACATGATCTCCAGAAGTTCTTGAAGCTAGTGACAAACACGACTGGCTCTATCCCAAATCTCCCATTCAACAGCCGACAAAGAGAAGCTGCTTGGGCGCTCAGCGGACAACGATATCATCGCTACTTCTAATGCGATCTCACACTACCACATGAAGCTAGAGATCGTAAATACAAGGCCTGCTTCTGGATATGCATTGTTAAGGCTTAAAAAAGTACTTAGTAAATATTTTGATAATTTTGATGCAACCTAAAAAAGCAAGTATAGAAGATGTTCATGTTGATAGTGATTGACGAGTGAACAAGACATGCGACTCGTGCACTAGTGAATGATAGATGCCTGATGTATCCTCACAACTGGCACCTAAGTCTTGCTGCTGGAATTATTGCTCTCAGCTCATGGCCATTAGATTCGTTAACCTATGAATGTATATAATTGTACCTTCTCTTTCTGTTTTTTCAGTTTTCTCCTAGTGAGGTTCGTTGGCTTCATCACTCATATTAATCCCTTTCTTGTGCGGTAGTTGTGGTCCGACAATCATCCTCCTCTTCTAACGTGAGCAGTTCCTGCTGTCACGCTTGGTGCAAATATTGCAACCAGTCTTTCCTTGCCGTCTGGCTCTTCTTCGTCCTCTTCCTCGAGTGCGAATTTTCTCGGCGCCAGTGGTAAAAACAATGCACTCCTGCTACCAGAGCTGGAGCAAACTGTTAACTTCATGGATATCCACTCGCTGAAGTTACGACTAAGAGACATTTTTTCATTTTCCTCACAGTCACATATATTTATATAAATTATAATTCATTGGGGTTTGAATTCTAATTCATGATATAGTAATGAAATCGTCTTGGTGCTGATTTCCCTTTGCGGCCTTTGCTGAGAAAAGCTTCAATTGTGTCCTTCCCCATCCCCTTCTCCTTCTAAGACAAAGGTCGCGTGCGGAAATGCAAACTCTGTCAAGTTTGACGAGCTTTCCGACATCGACGAACCTTGTCGATCAGCAGGCAGGTAAAACAACCTCCAGCAGCACTCAAAAAGCGACTCAAAAAGAAGTGGAGGAGGCGCAAAGAATCTTAGCTTCTTTAGCACTAGTTGCACCCATAGATTTGTCTGCTTCGCCAGCAGAGCAACTCTCAGCCACCATCGACCGGGTGATAGCCCAGCGAATCGAACTTTCCAATACCGCAGCTGTTGATGTTATGGAAATATTAACATTATTCTTGTTCAAGAACTAGAATTCTTTCCGGAATAATTTTAGAAATTTTTGCGCAGTCGTGTAGTTTGTCCCTGATCAACATGTAGTTACTCATCTATTTATTTACGACACTGGTGACCTGCTTGCACCATTGTTGTACGTAGTTTGTAGGATATTGTTTGATCTAGTTTTTCGAGTACCAACACTGGTTCTTCTTGTTCTTGCTAAATGAGTACCTGCCTCATGATGTTGACAGTCATTGCGACACTCCTTGCATTGGGTCAGGATCTATGCACTGGTACTGGTACTTCTCGACATTCTTGATCATGTTAATCATCTACGTATTTTCTCTTCACTAGGGGTAGGTCCACATCCACATCAACCTTTTTTTCATGAGAGGCGAGACCAGCGATCGTGAGAGTCAGGGGGGTGGAAATATTGCAGACGAGAGTAATGGAGGCGATGAGCAAACGGCCGGTGGAGGTGAGCATCCGAATAAAGTGCGAAGAAAAAACGACCCCGCTGATCAAGGTCCATCTACCTCAAAAGGAAGGAAGATGAAAGGGAAGACACAAAAGCAAGCTAGTACAACAGCTGCAGCCAACATGTCTTCTTCTAGTGCGTCGTCCACGTTAAATAACAAAAATGTTAGTATCCTCGACATCAAAAAAGAGCAAACTACAGCCACAACAACAAACAGTTCCTCGTCTGCTTCTAGTACAGGCAATAATAAGAAAAAGTCCAGTCCAGAGGTGTATCGGCTTCAGTTAAGCCGCGCCTGCAAGGATCTGCAGACTGAGGTCGAGATACTAAGGCACGAGTTGGAAGTCGTCGCGGAGGCTAAGTGGAAAAGTGGACTCCCAACAAGCGCCCACATCCTCTCGTCAGCAATAGACAGTTAAGATGAAACTAGTTCGTGTGGGGGGGGCCTTCAGCCCTGAGCCCTGGAGCATATATAACATTTACTTTTCTCAGGCAACTGCTGTATCATCAGAAGCAATTTCTGTTGTGCTCCTCGTGCTATTTATTTTCCCAGTAAGCATCTTGAAACGAGTTGCGTCACAAGTACCTCCTGTACAACAAAGAAATAGGATCATCTTCATAATGAGACGAGACGAAGCAAGTCAGGAACTTAATTATTAAAATTAAATGCTGCCTCTTCTAAAAAAGCGAGCCTGAGCTACTCAGCAGGGTAGACGCTCTGTGTGCTGCGTTTCGGGAACTCAAACGTCTGCTTGCCGAGGCAGACCAACACATCCTCGTTCCAGGTGCAGCACAATCCTCATCATCAAGTAAAAATGCACCTCCAGTTGACAATCGTCCTCCGAAGAAGGATCACTTTCGTTCCCTCAGAAGCGGATTAAGGCTCCTTTTTTTTTCGAATTTCTTTTGCATCCCTCTGAATCCTGCACGTTCAACACAGCTTCCGGAAAGTGCTCTAAAAGAATGCTAACTGCCATCCCTGGTTCAATCGAAAGACCATGTCCATGTCTGTCTTTCTCGTCTTTGCTTCCTGTTGATACTACGCTCTTCCCCTTATTTTCCTAGTAGTCTACTGTAAGTAGAAAAGAAGAAGAAGCCAAGGCAGAAGATGCTCTGAGGAATGTCTAAATGTTCCGTAACGACCTCTAATATAGATAACAAATAACTCAAGCACCAGCAGTGCTGCAGCAGGTGGGGCACGAGGCGTGAATGTCCGAAACAGTAAGCATGGCGAACGAAATAGCACTGGTGCCTCTAGTGTGGACATGGGAGAGCCGGTGAACAACTGGCTTCGTCGTGAGCGAATGCGTAACAATATGCACGTCTTTTTACGTGATACGTCTACGTATGGCACCTATGTGAACGGCATCAAAATCGGACGAAATACCATACCCAGGATGCTCAAAAATGGCGATGTACTCATCAGATTACTTCGTCCTCTAAGTCTACATCTTTTTGATTTTGATATTGATATTTTTATGACTTCATCTTCATCATTTTGGAGAATAAATTGTTCTCGTCCTAAAAATGATTTGTATCTATATCATCTCGGTGTTTGAGTTAGCTTTGTTCATCAACCATTTTAACTACGTACTTACAAGAAAATACGGATAAGTACACTCTTTCTTTCAGTTATAATGAATCTTCGTCCTCTTTCCGTTAGTTTTAGTTTAATACAGCTTCAGTTCTTCTCTGGTCTTCTTCACCCCTTTACCATCAGCATCACCCACATCAACGACCACAAGGTGATCGCGTTTATGCGGCATGACGAGAGGGCGAAGGAAATTGGGGATTATCGCGTAGAGTATGCGCCAGGGCACTCGCCTCTGGGTGGCGAAATTGTAGCGGTCGAGTTACCCCTTTTCACCGGGAACACCTTCTCGGAATGGGCCAGGCAAAGAGAATCAGTCCAATTCACGAACATGGGAAAGCAGGCCATTTTGAACTGCTATCGAGTTTGCTTGACGACGTTCTTGATGTGCTCGGACGGAGGACGTGGGCACAATCCACGACTGAAGGAATTGAAACAGAATTTACCGCAAGAGTGCAGAAACCGAATCCTGGACTTTCTACGATACGATAGCATCGCAGAGGCAGTTGGGGACTGTACTATCATTTTTTGCGTTTGTCTATTTTTCGAAAACTAGAAAGAAGTCGCTATGGGATGAAGCAATATGAGAATCGGTGACGTTTGTGTGAAGATGTGTCTGGTTTGTATTTGTAACAAATACAATGAGCGAGTATCTGAGATTGTGATCTTCTACCCTAGTACAACTCGGTCATTTCATCAGTGTTTCACATCTATCTTCTCCGCTTTTAGAGTTATTAGCCTCTTGCTACTATACTTCAATTTCACGTGCAAAGAAATCTTTCTTTTTCTTAGCGTCTCTGTTGTTGCTTATCCAGCATCACCCACAGGCAAATGCGGCAAGCCGCCACGAGCGGAGCTTCTAAAAGCAGTATCAAACACAGCTCGGGAAAGACACATGGATGATGCAATTTCTGTCATCTGCAACAATTGCGCCGAACTTGCGAAAGAAGGCCTCACGCAAATGGAGATACCGATTAAGAGTACTAGATTATACACGTTTTATGATAAAGTACTAGAAGTAGTACCTACTACTAAGATTTGATTATTACGTATAGGAAGTACGATTGGTGGTCATCGTCAAGCTCAAGTAGTCTACCCTCGCTTTACCTTTACTTGTTCCTGCATATAAATTTTGCTTTGCAATTTACAATCATCAAAAAGAAGAATCCGAAAATCTTCTCCAATCTGAATGTGATTTGTGATCTCAACCTAACTTAACCTAACCGAACCATGCTGATCCTTCGACTTGTTCTCTTTCCTACGGCAGGTGATGCCGATCTTGCAAGCGACAAGAGTTTGCAAGACTGGCAACGAAAACTTCGAGGCGACCTTTTGAAGCATAGGCGCTTCGCTACCAAGCTGAAAGATCTGGGGTACCAGGTCGAGGTGAAAAATGGACCTAACTCCCAGTTGACCGTGAAATTTACGTGACGTCGACGTGATAGAATATGTACTTACAACATAGTCCCCCCTGGTCCTGGTGCAAGGAACATTTATATTGCTGCAACAACTTGGAAGATCCATGACTATCAAACTATCAATGTCAACATGTCTTTGTTTCTCTGTATTTTCATCTTCACATGATCCATCCTAGTACCTCCACTACCACAACTTCTAACACACGGGGCGGCGGCGATGAGCAGCCGAACAACCGAGGAGGGCGCGCTGGTCTGATATTGCGGGGAGAGGCAGGTGGGCAACTCATCCGTGGCGGCGCTGCCCCCGAGCACCAGATGGTCAATGACATGTTAGCGGAAGCTGCTGGAATGCGGCACATTGGAGCAGCAGCCGAAAGGGCAGCTGCCGCGGCGGCCGCCATAGCGGCTGCTGCCGACAGAGCTGCCGCTCGTGATATTAGGGATCGCTAGTAGAACTGAGGACTACTAGAAAAACCTCGAAATTATATTCGAAATACTATTGCTAAGAACGGATCATGTTCTTCAAGAACTTCTTGATCCAGTTGAGCTAAAAATATGCTGTCATAGTACTTTCATCTTGGTTACAATTAGAATTCTCGAGGAATAATATCTCCATGCATTTTGGTCGTACTTACAAAATAATGTTGTAGTGCTCCTTATTTTTTCATCGAAGCAGAAACAGAAAAAGCATAGAAAAAAGATGATGAACTAGTACATGAAGTATCAGATAATGATCACGAAGTCAAGAAAGTCTTTGAAGAAATAAAACACTACAGTGAGGAGCTACTACTTCTCCACCACTTATAGTGCTAGCGAAGGCAATAACAAGACGAATATGGTCCTCCTACGACTTAAACTTAAGCTTCTCATGCTTAAGGAGCTCATACATACTATGAAATTAATAAGCGAGTAGACCTTCTTCAAATCATCGTCTGATGTCGCGGACAAGTCGACAAACTAACATCATCATCAAAAGAAAAAAGTCAAAAAAAAATTTTGTTGAGCTTGAGCTGAATCCTCTCCATCCTCACTACAGTAATTGCAATAATACCTTCTACAGAAATTGTTACCAATTGTTCGTTTCCTACCCCAGCACCTGTACTTGTACAACTCCTAACTGTAATGAAGTAATAACATCAAGTGATATTATTTCAACTCAACAAACAAGAACACCACGACCAATTAAATTCAGAAGCTGCCTTCAAGATCGCACAATCTCTCGCCTTACACTTACGCCCAACAGCACTTATATTGTTCAACAAGCATTCCGATCCTCTCTCATAATTATAGATTGATGAATGCGGAAGATCTTCAAGATGATCTAAGTATAATTTTGACTCATTGGAAAATGCGATTTTTCAAACTGAATGGTTCCGGTATTTTTGGTATAGCCTGAATTTGATCATAAGGGAAAACAAGAAGAGAACCCTTAGGATCAAATTCAGGTTACCAAATAGCAGAACCATACACAAACTTGGTTCTTGTTCACCATATTACTATTACTCTCGCCGCATCTTCCACAAGCATCTGTGCTACAAGAACATCACTGCGGAAGGAGTCAAAGGCAAAGATCGGTAGTACCTTACTTCTCGTGATGTCGTTCAACAATATTCATTGGGTCGACCCTGCTTCGGTAACCTCCAGCTTCGGGACTGCTACAAAAGAGACCTCTTCTTGATCTGAAAGACACCATCCCCATTGAACTTGCTTCTGAATCGGCGCACCTCGAAATCGTGCGAAAAGGTCGGTTTACACAGATCCCTTCGCCTATGCCCCCCCTAGATGAACCAGAGAAAGAATCTATAATTCGCCCATATGCCCTGCATAGATTCTACTCTCTTTTCCAATAGAAATTTGTAAGCAGTGGCAATTCTACAATTTCAACGGATTTCCTTGTACTTGTAGAGATAGAAGAAGTTTTTGCTTTTGCGCGTACCAGTAGGCTCCTGCAGTGGGAAAGTAGGATGATGAGGACGTTGTAAAAATTCGTATTTCAGCGCAGGACGGCTGTTGGTACGGTACCTTGTCTTTATTTTTTTCCTAAAGGAGAGTCAGAGTCAGTCTCTACTTTCTTAGGGGTGACTGAAGAGAGAGGACATAGACACTAACATAAAGATGGTGTCAGCCGCTGCCTCGCGCGCTTTTGCGCCTCCAGCTACGCGGAGCAGCTCAAAAACATCGACTGCTACAACAGCATCATCAAGTTACGATTGGAGCATCGATTGCCAAAAGTTTGATTGCTAACAAACTATGTTTCATAGGATTTTTCTGGCTTATTTCTCCAAGCTTTGCGAGCGCTGTTTGCGGCGCTGTTGGAGCCTTTCAAAAATTTCAGGAATGCGAAATCACTTATCGATTTTTTTTAGTGGTATTTGTCACCTTGCTCCACCGTCTCCGTCAATTGTACTAAATGTAAAACTAACAGCTGATTGTGGTCGTGCCGTCTTGGTAGATCATAGTTTAGTCCAGATGATGACGTTTTTATGTTGACTCTAAACCCTCGCGGCCGCAGGAGCCCAACGGCATCAGCATCCGTATCGAGCTAGTGTTGTGACAAATAAAGCAGATCTGCCTGTCGACTACAATAATTTGAAGGGTAGCACGATGTACAAGTTTGGCCAAGGCTCCAACGCTCGCGACGACAAGGACAAAGAAGTGGTCGTGCATAAAACAGACGCAGAGTTGAACCTCGAAGAAGAAGACGACGCCCAAGCCGACCTGAAAAGTCTGGGGTTCACAAAAAGAGAAATCATGAAGTTACGACATCACAAGAACTTCTTCTACATGGTCTTTTTATAGTAACCTGGGAACTAGGACGTAGCGTAGCGCCACCAGCTCTAGGTCGTAGTCTTCGTGTTTTCTTGGCCCTTCAGCAACAGCAGGCAGTCACGTCTGCCAGTTTTCCTGGTGGGCCCGCACCTAGCCTAACCTTATAGATACATAGTGATGCGTGGTCTAGAAGATCATCTATAAGTTTCCACCTCCGCTCCTTCGACCTCATGATCATCTCGGAGATCTGCTTCATTAGAGGATTTCCACCTCTCGCTACCGCTATCCTCCACATCCTCGCTCTACTTCTGGTGATGTTCTAACTGCCATCGACAAAGTGAGAAAGGCAGTGATGAATCCCCGTGGCTCTGATTCGTCGTGGGGCAGACCGGATCCAAGGGAGGTTCATCGAGCATGTAGAGAGCTCATACAGTGGTTTGATCGAGACACAAAGTGGGAAGAAGGACAGCATTTGGAGAGTCAAAGATTGAGTACAAGAACCACTAACTAAAACTATTAGCTTGCTATGAATGTGTATGAAAATGAATGTGGTAAACAGCATTTGTTTATATTTTGGACGACTTGGAGAAAAGTTTTTATCAGAAACTGAGCACAAGCACTACAAATACTTGATATGGGAAGACGATCATCATATGAGAGGCGTCTTTCTCTAGTCTATCATCAAATACTCAACAACTGCACACCACTCAGCATTCGACCTATTGGAGCAAGTGGTGCTGCATGGGCTTCGATTACGGCACCTGCGGGATGTGGATATCATGCGAGTCATCGATACCAATATAAGTCACCGAGAAAGAAGCACAGATACGGGAGCGATACTACAGGATGGAAAAATTGTACAAGTTGAACTTTAGGTTTAGATTTTCACACAACTTCCGTGTAGAAGTTGTACAGCATTATACAGTGCAGTATCGTCTCAACATCATGAACCAGGTTAGTACATTGTCCTCGTGAACTAGAACTAGAACAGTAAAAGCGCTAGTCCCACAAGTTTTTTGAATATTTGTTTCTCACAGATGATGAAGCAGAAGCGGAAGTCGAAAGCCGAAATGGAGGAACGAAAGAAAATTCTAGTTTCAGTCGAAGCGTTCTCAAGTATGTTATGGCTCTGCGGTCACTTATGTTCACTTTTACCGCACAGTATTTAATGTCGTGATCGTGTGCCCATACCTCACGCTCTCCTGTTCTAACCTTTGTGAATAATTTTGTGGAGAGAAACGCGGTAAAGCGGCTTTTTTTGCAGCAAGAGAAAGGTGCCCCACCAAGCGAAGAAATAATGACACGCTGTTTCCGCGAATTCGCATCGAGGAAGCTTTATCGTATATTTAGCCTCTCAAGAAGAACATCACTTTTGATAATTATGAACTCGAACTCGGAGGAACAGGGTACGACCGAATTAACTTTTCAAACATTCGAATGCGTGATTATACTAGAGACTGACTCAAGCATTCCACAGCAAGAACACAATAGAAATTACAACCATTCAACACCAGGTCCTGGCGATCCCGGTCTCGCTGACGAGGAGAGGCCGACAGCGTTGTCAGAGAAAACTATAGTGGAAATTTTCGAATTTCTTGAGGTCTACATGACCACCAAGGACGTCACGTTCCTCTTCAAGCAAATAGATGCGGATGGTATCTTCTGTTTCTGTCAGGATACATAGAAATTGATGTTAGAATCCACTCACGACGATCGAAGACCTTACATGACAGGAAAAAGAAGTCTCAGCTACTCTCACTCTCCACATGACCTTCGTCGAGATTAGCTGGCTTGTGGCATCAATTGCATTTCTATGATATGGATATGCGGACGAACGAAAAAATGAAATTCCAACTAATTATGGCCATGATGGAGGTTGTAATCAAGAATAAGAAAGTCATAGATAGATTACTCTGTAGTTCTTGCGGTTCTTATTCTTCCCCCATACTACTTCCATTTCGTCTTATTCGCTCACTTTCAACAGGATCCGGCACCATTGAAGAAGATGAATGGAAGGAGTTTTTCAAGAAAGCATCACACCGAGAAAACTTGAAGAAGCGTGCTTGTCTACAAGATGCCTATTTGCGTGCTGTCTTCGACGAATTCGATGTCGCAAGAAGGGGCCACCTCCAGATGGAAGATTTGATGAACATCGTATTTTTCTAAGTAGACCTTTTTCTTTTCTATAACCAGAGCCTACCACCTAGTATCCTAGGCATAACAAGGATTTCTTGAGGGACAAGCACAATTACTTTTCTCCCTCAGGGAGAAAAGTAATTGTACTTGTACATGTGGTTGCTATGCTCATGCCTCAAAACTTCTAGTACTACCATGATTCAGATCCGCTTCATCAACCTACGAATGTCGGAGGAGGTAGCAGAGAAGCTATTTTTTACAATCGATTCGAATAACGATAATCGGATAGAACTAGACGAATTTCTGGGATTTTTCCAGGCAGTCCAGAGCCAAGACGACATGAAACAGAAAATCAAGGAAATGAGCATCAAGAATTATGGCGCATTTGCACACGCGGCAACAACTCTCCTTCATCCCCTAAGTACTTGAATCAATTTTGATTTAGACAGATGTCGATGATGGCCAGATCCTCTACAAGAACTCCTTCTACTCCCAATTCGCATTCTAAGAATTGCAACGAAGTGCCTGGTGTCAAGGAGGGATAGGCTTTCTGTCGATGATAGCGTTCGTTCTCTGTTGCGTTTTTGGCATAGTGCCGCTGGCAATAGTGACCGGAATTATGGTCTCCATCTTCGTCCTGAACTTCGTGGGATGGAAGAATGTAGAGCGTGCTGGTGCCTGCGTCCAGAGGAACTCGTGCGTCTTCACAATAAACCGACTCAGATATACCACAGTCATGTGGGGAATCGTACTACTAGTTGCATTTTTTATGTTGTTATTGGGAAACATACATTACAAGTTCAAGAAACATGATACAAGTGCTCCTGTCAACATTGTCGTGATCATATTTGATATTAGGCCAAGAACTATTCTACATACGTGGTCATGATCTTCAACGTCGACTTTGACATGACTACACGGCTGACGCTCACTCTTTCTGCTTACAGCTATACCTCGCTTTGGTGATTTGGCATCAGTACGAGGGTGCCGAGATAGAGCGAGACCATACTAGGAGGCATGTGGAGACCCCAACAATACCCAAAGAATTCGTTCTTGCTGGTGGAATACTGCTTGCCATTTTCGTTGGTGTGAATGTTCTTTGCATGCTCGAATCTTCCTGCAAAGTATCAAGGAGAATATCGAGTGCCCTAGCAGATAACGTTAAGGCTTTTGGTTCTGCCAATCTATCTCCTGTGAGTGTATCTCTAACACTAACTATGTACCGGGTTATGGAATATCCTACTGTTGGGTGGTGGAAGACAACAAGGGGAAGGGATATAATTGGCGGGGAATATTAAGTACTACTTAAATACTTGATATGATACGTACAAGGGATATAATTGTTCTAGTTGGGCTTGACGGGAACCCTTACCCTACTGCTCTTCAGAGATCAATGAGAGGCAGCTTCTCTAAGAACGGTCCAAAAGTAGACGTGCCAAGAGTACGACTGATACCATACATGGGCGCGATAGCAGGTATGAAAATTTGCTTGTTCTTTATCTCATTTTTCAATTTAGATACTGGTCGTTGGTACTATGCAATGTTGAAATATTCAACTTCAAACGAGAAAAATCAACATGAAGATTCATAGACTTCGCAATTATGCTCTTCATCTACTGGGCCCAAAACTACAGACGCGGTTTTTTCCCCAAGTCGTATGCGAGGATCCGGAGGATCGAATTCGCCACCTAGACGGAAATCGTTTTCAAGGGAACGAGCTAATGAATTCGCTAAAGCCAGGCTACCACCTGAAGGAGGCTACAGTGCTGGCTACCCAGTCCCATCCCATATCGCTGGTGGCTTCAGAAGGGCCTACGAAGGTGCTGCTTCTGCGTCTGCGAGTTATTCGTCTCCTGATAATTATGAGAACAAGATTAATGCTAAAAAAGGGTGGATGTTGTTGTTGATTTTGCGGGATCATGATGTTGTAGGATGTTTTTGGAAATAGATGCCTGTAGAAAAAATGCTGTAATATCGGTCGTCTACCTCGAACCCAAAGTTATACTAGTAGATTGCTTTTATTGATATTGAAAGCATTTAACTGTCTTCCCTCACCCTCTCGCTGTCTCTCCCAAACACCCCCTTCATAACCCAGTCCGAAGAGGGTCTTGGGGAAGTGGCGGATCATTACCAAGCGCAGGACGTGAAGGGCGCTTGCCTAGTGCAGAACGAAGGAGTCAGGGTACTATCGAGCCCTTCCGTCCCCTTAGTCAACAGGGTGCGCGTGAACAGATAGCTGGCATCAAAAAGGGGGACAATGTAACGGCGATGGGAATCATGAAAAAACCATTGGATGAGTAAGGATAAGTAAAGTCTTCATGTTCATGTTCATGGTAAGCACAAGTAGGTTTGATGTTGCTATTCTTTCTCGTCTATTATTTTCACTCAAATTTGCTATGTTCTCTCGCTATTCGCACTCTCTCTGTGACAAGATTTACCAGTGACCAACAAAGAAACGATACCGACCTCTCGCTTTATCGTTGTTACCTGAAATCGCATAGCTTCCGCAGAAAAATCAAGGAGGTAGATGTGACGCGCTCCATTTTATTGCTCTGTGTTGGAGCGTGAGATGTCTCGTTCCAGACATCCAGAAGTCCTGGATGACATTCCCGAAATCATCTGAATCCTAAAAATACTATGAAAAGTCTCCATTTCTTGATGAAAAGATGTGCATGATATTCGTGTCGCATGCAGTAACCGGGCTTATTTTTGTACAGATGTTGCAAAGTTATTAGATAAATCAATATGAATGTATCTCCCTATTCCGAAATTAACGAAATCCATCCGTCCCCGTTTTAGACTCAATGTACTAGTACCACGCAGAATAACATCATGGAAACCCGTTTTCACAGATCACCATCAGCTGCAGCAGCAGCGTAGGAACTACATTTATTATCGGGTAACAGTTTATCTGATTCTATGTCAATTTATGGTCATATAGCGAAATTTTGCACAATGTCACAGCAGCTGTCATGATATGTTTTCTTTGATCCAAATCACTAGCTACCCTGCTGATAGTATCTATAAGTATCGATCCCGTTGTACCATTGCAGGTCACGACTCTGTAGATTGAGCTTTGCTATGCATCAATCGAAGTTTTAGTTTTAGATCAGCGTTGTAATAGAGCATAAATTGCTCGCGACCAGAGGACCTCGTCTAGATCTTAGTTTTACAGTCTAGGAGATGTTGATTGGCGGAGTTTTACTTTATGAGCTCGAGCAGAAGTCTCTGTGGATGTTGTCCAGCAGCCTGAAATTTTCAAAAAAAACAAGTTTTACCTGGACTATCCGACAACGCTGTTCTTGGTGCTACCAGGATGTGTGTATGTAGTGGGATCTGTTTAGAGTTCTCCTGTTTCTCTGCGGTTCTCCCTCTGTCTCAATCAACGATCATCGGTCAAAGAATCGGCTCAAAAATCAGAGTCCTCAATGCTGTACCCATGGCCTCAATGCTGTACCCGTGCTGGCTCGGGAATCAGTGCTGTCCTCTTCATCTATACCTCAACGTCAACCTCTACAAAGCCCCAAAATTATCCAAATGAAAATGTACTTATGTGTTTATTTGTTCTTGATAAAAATAGCGAGAAGATGCCTAATATAATTCGTGCTGTTTTTCTTCATGAGCAGTATCTTTCTTTATAATTGCCATTCTCATCTTCTCGTCATTCAAGGAAAACGAAATAGGACACTAGGGCATAGGCATTCTTTGGACTTCATAGGCTTGTGCTGCAAGCCGCTTTTATGCGGCTGCAGGCAAGAACAAGGACAAGCGTCAGAAGTGAGTCGTGAGTGTGACTGTAACGAGCCAAAAAGACCAAGAGTAAAACGAGACGCTGCAGGTACAACTACGACGAACGACAACAGCCTCACGTTCTGGGTAAAGAACTCTCGTGTGACCGTGGGGGTAACCCTTGCTGTCGCGCAGGGAATCTTCCTCTTTTTTTTCCCAGACGAGCTACAGACTCTTACTCGTATCAAACCTGCGGTGGTGGTCAAGAAGATGCCAGAGCAGGCTGCGAGAAAGAGTAAAGTTGTGCCGAGGAGGGGCTCAAGATGTACCGGATTCAGGACATTGCAGGCGTTGGAAGATGGTACTTTCTTTGTGAGTTTTCAAATAAAGTAAGTCGAAATCCTCTACAAGTGTAACGACCTCTATGAAACCAAAATCTGTTATCATTATCGTACTTTTCTACTTCAAAAACTTGATAATGATAACAGATTTTCTTTTCATAACCTCATCTCCACTTGCTCCAGGTCTCTTCGCCACCTACACAACGCAGAAGAAACGGGAGATGAATCGAGAGCGAACAGTAGGATCAAGGCAGGGGCCGAGGCAGATGTTCTCATATAGACCACCCACTACGAAGCAGTGCAGCATAGTCCCTAGATCGAATTGTCCATCAGCGTTGAAAGATGGTCGATTCAGCTTTTTTAGGGACTTGAGGCCACCGTTTACGGTGACTGGGGTACCTATTCTTTAGTATAGAATGAAAGGACCGGAAACAGTGCTGACGTTTTTCTTCGAGCAGTCTTTCTCTTTGTCTTTGCTTTGTTAGAACTTCTTGACCATCTATGCCGATTCATTCACCTGCTAAAATACAACACCAGCTCGCCGTCCTCGACGATCAATCAGGCGAGTTCCAACGCTTGCAAGAGGAGTCGCCAGAGTTGAGGAAAGTGCCCTTAGCAGAGCTCAATGAGGTCTACAAAATCGAATGGGAAGCATATTTAGGGTACGACATAGAAAGAAATTTCACGGACATAGAGGACCGGAGAATATACGGCTGCGCGGTAGTCAAAGTGCCCTTAGGATACAAGGGCGGACCGCTTTTGGTACTGTACTTACACCTACCTGTACTTGTCGTACTAGAGGACGATGAAATAGATTTATTTTGATATTAATAAGGTCTGTCTCTTTTCTAGTTAGGTCGGCTCCACCACAACAAATATTGATAAGAATAAGTTGTTTCAGTAGGCTTGTTTCTAGTTTCTAATTCTAGGCTACTAGTGTTCGTTCCTCTACAGGTTTTTTCCTGGGGTACGCCATCTTGCTTTGACAAGAAGCTTGAATTCCTCTTCAAACCTGAAAGCAAGAAGTTCTTCGGACCGACGAAGGGGAAGATGCCACCGGGTACTTATACGAGTCGTGACCTTGTTGTTTTTCAGATCTTGTTCTTGTGATTCTTTTCCATTGATTTGGTGATAAAAATTGATTTGGTGATGAAAACATTTTCAGTCTGTAGTCTTCACACGATACTTCTAATCCTTCTAATCCTCCACCACCTACTGACTACCTACAACTACATCAGATCAAGCTAGTCTTAACCGATCTCAGCGATTAGGAGGGTCATCTCCGACGAGTCGGTTTTCTAGTGACGCGGCATCAACCGCTGCCTCATGGAATGTGTCTGCAAACGACAGCTTCGACGCCTCAACAACAGCTGGCTCTGCACATTGGCCGACTGTGCCATTTGGTACTGTATCCGAATTAGGTTTAGAAGTCGTCCTCGGTTAGTCGTGTACATCAATGACGAGGAACAGTTGATGATGTCTTTCTTGTCTACTTATTTGATTATCGAAGAAGCTCAAAGTCAAAACCCTGGATCATGAGTATTTTTTCAATTTCAATCATCCTCTCGAGGAATGTACTACTGCAAATCGAAGTGAAAGAACTTGAACTCGATCCATCGTCCCCATCGTTCTTCTCTTATATTAATTAAATAAGTAGATTGTATACCCAGGTCGGCGCACCCCCTTCGTTCGAACGGGTGCAACAACCGCCGCCTCTGATCCTGGCACGACGAGAGCCTCACCAGCATCCTCACCTCAGGAGCAGTACTATGGTAATCTTGGCGGAGGCTTATCACTGAAAGGCAGCCCTGTGGAAAGTCAGGGTGGCGGTCTCAGTTAAGGCTTCCCCTGTAATCCATCCGTGTTCCTGTAGAGGTCCCTCAAACATATGCGCCCCAATTATAGATAGAGATACAACCAATATACTGACGCGGCATATGCTTAAGGGAATTCCAAAGGGATGAATAGGGGAGAGCTCTAATTCAGCATGAGATCGAGTCCGTTGGATAGTTCAAATATGTCCTGGTCACCGAGAACAAGAGCGCACTCAGCGGAAGGAAATCCCAGTATTAAGGCTCGACTTTCATTGGTCATCGAAGTTGGTCACTGAAATCGAAGAGAGTCCCCTCGATAGAACAGGGGAAAATGAAGGGAACAAAGGGGAGAGCCTTGGAAGGGTCTCTTCCGTTCAGAGTCAGTGACCAATGAATGCTGAGCTTTAACAATAGCTTTGCACGAAAGCAGAAGCTCAACAGGACAGGCGTCAACTTAGTCACGGGGTGGAAGAAGTTGGATGAGAATAGCCGGTGCTTGATATTTTTTTTTTATTTCCTCGCTCTCTTGGAAATGGAATTGGATTTGGAACATGAACATCAACATCAACATAGACATGCTAGCACCTGGTCAGGTTGAAAATGAAGTTGAGAAAGCATCGATCATACTACGGCCGGATAAGTACCTCCATCAATGTCGTATTCGTATCTCGTCTTTCTCACGTAGTTCTAATCGATCATTCCGATCCACGAACTCCACTTCAAACTCAACACAGCGGCATATCTTTCACGGGCTCTCTTTCCGTCACAAATCGCGTTCTGTCGGACAATTTATTCGCATCCACGGGACACGAGCTAGGCTTTTTCCAGCACACTAGGGTTTTTGACGTGAAGACGAACAGTTGGAAGCCCGCGAGAAAGAGTCAGAAATGCCGCTACCGGGATCCGGATTTTAGGTCGAACTGCATGCACGCATCAAAAATCATGAGTAGTGACCGGAAACCTTTTTTGAGCGTGCTGTTGTAGTAAGGTAGTAGAGGAACTCCTGCTTTCTCAATCACGATCTACTGTAAAGCATCGAAGATTCTCTTCATTCTAGTTTCTCCTGTCATAAGCAAATGCATCAGAGTCCCCTTGTTACTCCTTAGTCGGAAAAACAAACAGTATTCTTAATTATAGCAATGCTCCTTAAGAAGTTGTCATATTCTTAGTCAATGAACAAGTCTAACACTTCTCACTGAAGAATCCCAATTAGCTTTTTCTGTTTCCTATCTCATCAAAGTTTCCTTCTTGTGTTGTTCACATGGTATTGTTCATTATCAACTCATGATTGCCGTTTCTTTGTGTAAATAATGGAAGCAATTGTCACAATATCAATATACGAAGGTGCACTTCTTGTAGGTCCCGCAACTGTAATTCATCTACGAAACAACTACAACATAGCCAACATCATCCATCGACCACGCCGGAGCAGCCTCACCATGTGTAGTTTCCAGATATCCGCCTTTTAATGTCAAACTTGTTATTGGTAGTTTCCTGTCATAATACTAGTACGCCTATGCCTCCACGCCACAATCCAAAAAATGATCTGCATATCATCCACATTTCTAATTGCCAGAGCCGTACAGACCTCCAACTCCACAAAGACATACGTATCATAGTCCCCTGTCCTGCTACGCAGACAATAATAGATGCTCTGCGTGAGCTTGGACATCAGACATTTAGAATGGGCGGGCTGCTGCTCAGATATTGTTCATCTACCTCTAGGTTTACCACAGCTCATTTCAAGCACTGCTCTCTCCGCTACCGCTTCAGAGCTAATTTATAGTTATACGACCAAAAAATGGTCCTCCTGGCGGCGATGGCCGATGAAGCGGTATGATGTGTCCAGCTCATGATCTGATGGATCTGTGCATCATTATACGTCGTGATTGATTCCGTCCCCACGAATTGAGAAGTTCGTTGTACCTACGTGTGAAGGTGAACAGCTGCCATCTAGAAGAAAAACTCAGCTTTTGACATTGCCCACTCAGTGGAGTCAAGAACGCAGATTTTAGAGCGAGCACTTGATTGATTGTAGTTGTCAAGTAATCAAATCACGTCGACTAAAATCACGTCGACTACCTCCACCTCTACTTCGGAGAACGATCTCGCACATTTTGCAGACGTGCTAGAGCTGCTGAAGGACAGGTGGGCTGGAATGCCTCAAGACGCTCGCTTGTTCACGGGTCTCAACGAACAGACAGCTCTAAGAGAGGAAGCTATGGCAGAGTTCCAAGCCGCATGAAATGGTGCGGATGGTAATGCTGACGGCCGTCTGTCCAAAGCTGAGTTCAAGGGGTTCGCTCAGACGCATTTGGGGAACATCAAAAGGCGCATAGGATTATGGGCATCTTTGATGTACAGTGTTGAGGATAACAACAAAATATGGGACGCTATTCATGGGTTGAGGAAGACATAGGTCACTATTGCTATTGTTCAACATCAATCATGTGAACTGATTATTAGTGCATTGTGAAGTGATTATTGCTATGTATTGTTCAGCATCATGGATTGAAGATGTTCTGGTTCTGATTACCGTCCTCGTATTTCTTTTTCTTCAAGAACTATTGTGACGTGCAGTGAGTTTCTTCACTCGTCCATAGAAATGTTGGCACTTCACCAACTACACCAAGAAACACGTACTTTAGTGTAAACTGATGGTAATGTGAACAAGAATTTATTAGATGATGATGGAAACAGAAGTGGAAACAGGTATGCGCATGTTCACGATGCCTATTTCACTGTACTGACGCCATTGGCCAGAAGCAGAGTTTGAGGAAAAGAAAAACGCAAGATTTTATTCCCCGTTAGAGAGAGAGATGAACAGTACAAGCAGTCCACGCTAAGCGACATTCATTGTTGAGATGGGTATGCATATGCTTCACGCACTTCGAACAAGAAGCTTCAAGTTCACGCCTACTAGTTAATTTTAGGCATTCTTGTGCCTCATTTCAGGTAAGCCGTATCGGAAAAACAACAAACACATTCATTGATTCGCTTTCGCATAAAGCATCTGCATCACTAGATTTAATAAGAGCATCACATAAGATGGCAAATAGATCACGAAGAGTTCGACGAACGAGAAGTCAGACATCCGCGTCCGGTGCTGGTCTTCTCACCAGATCTTCTTCTTCAGCACTGCTGCTCAGCGCAGCTTTTCAAGGTGTATTTGTCTTCTCCTCCAAGGCTGCTGATGCAGACGCAGTCCCCTACCTGCCTGGCTTCGGCACACCACCAAGCCAGCACTTTTCAGGCTTTCTAGATGCCACTGCTGGGTGTGATACCGATTCAAATGGACCATTTTGCAAATTGCACTACTGGTTTGCAACGAAAGAAGATGTAGTAGTAGAGAGAGATCATGTCTCGGAGAAGGATGCTGCAGTAGTAAAAGAGGACTCCGCAGGTGTTGAACAAGTGATAACAGACACGACAAGTAGTGCTGAACCTGAACACCTGGATGAAAATACACAACAAGACGAAGCAGCGGTGTTCCGGAAAGCCAATTCTAATAGCAACGCTAGATCAACATTGTTATCCTTGTCCAAGTCGAAGAAGGACCACACCAACGCAAACAATCATGCTGTGTTTGCAGACAAATCCATTCCAGTGATTCTCTGGCTCAACGGCGGACCTGGTAGTTCATCCTTGATAGGATTTTTGCAGGAAAATGGGCCGTTGATGATGAACGCGACTGGAGGATTCATGCGCAACCCCTATGCCTGGACGAAAGTTGGCCATCTGTTGGCGATCGAGCAACCTTTGGGTGTAGGGTTCAGCTACTGCGCAAATTCAGTGGCTGAAGGTAGTCGGGCTTTTTTCGCAGAGGAGTCCGCTCCCTTTTCAACAACTGTAGCTACTTCCTTGCCAGAAGTACTTTCTTAACGTCAACTTACTTGCATCAGGACACTCAGGAAACGCAAACGCTTGTACAACTACATCGTCGAATGTTAATAGACCTCTGCATGTTTTGATCTTCATGTTCATTTCATCGATCAGAGACCGAGTCCTCACCCACCGTCCACTTCCAGGCTCCAAGAAGAAGCTCTGTAAGAACCGCGATAAGACTGCTGCTTCAATGGCTCGAGCGGCTGTGGTCGATTTTTTCACGTCTAAGTTTCCAGAACTTCGCGACAACCCCTTCATCATCACTGGAGAATCCTACGCCGGCGTCTACATCCCCACTATCTCCAAGCAAATACTAGATTGGAACAAAAAACCAAGCACTGGGAGCGAAGCGAAGGTCAATTTAAGGCTTGTTGAAGAAATCCATCTTGATTATGAAGATTGTAGTCCCCTTTCTTTCCAATCAGCTTTGATTTCGGTCCCGTTTTGATTTTGAAGACGAGATCTTTGAAGTCGGGCACCACCAAGATCGATGCTCAGCAAGATCAAGAAGATGGACCTACTTTGAGCAAAGCACAACCCAGCTAATCAATCTAGTGGCCATCGGCGTCGGAGACCCATGCACTGACAACGATGCTCAAGCGAACGCGATGGATGCCCTGTGGTATGCGCATAAGAACGGATTTGTGCCAGACCAAGACTTCGACTTCCTCTGGAACACGTGCAAGGCAAGGGTGCCAACTAAGATGAGCGTGTGGCGGGAAAAGATCAAAGCTAGAGGATTTCGAGTAGTAAGAGGAGCGGGGGTGGCGGATGGTACACCTGGTTTCTTGGTGGATTAAGATTATCTATTTATAAAAATAATTGTTGATTGGACTAGGCCCGTTGTGGTCGTGTTTTCACTTGTAGTTTCTTCATTATTTCTTATAAAAGCAAGGCAAAGGCATAAAAAGAATCAATAACTTCTTAGAGACTCATTGATTCTCATCGATCGTGAATTCCGCACAACGTCCCATAAATTGGCCACAACTCAAACGACCTCGCTTCACCAAAACATCAGCTCTCGTCGAAATGCTCCCTCGAATGCCATCTGAAGAGTTCCGTGTTGAGATTCCTGGATGCCGTGGAGCCTGGAGGAGGTTTTTGCTCTCAGCCTCAAACGCCTTCAGTCAAGGGTGGTCCAGGCAATGGATAAACCCATACGCTTTGTATATTATGAGAAGATGTCAAATAATTCCATGTCTGGTTCTGGTATTTGGAAGCCTGAATTTGATCCTAAGGGTTCTCTTCTTGTTTTCCCTTAGGATCAAATTCAGGTTAGCAAATACCAGAACCATTCATTCCATTTTTTATTATGGATAAACCCAATCATTGAGAATTATGATGCCCTAGTTGTATATCTTCACGTTCATTTTTCTCTTCTAATCCCTGTCCTTCCGGAGTCACGTCCGAAGACGATGCCATGGCCGCGTGGCTGAATCGTAAAGACGTTCAAAAAGCTCTCCATGTTGAGGAAGCCAAGGTTGCTCAATGGCCTCAGACTGGCGCAGGATTCGACTACTCCCAGGACTATGCTGCCTGTAATCAAGCAGCAGAGCCAGGAGCGCCTTCGATTTAAGGAGACAGCAGACAGCTTAGTTGTACAACTTAGACTTACTCTGTACAACTTACTCGGCAGTTTTTCATGTTCTAATTCATTTTCATGGAAGTAAATAAAGCTATGTGTCTATGTCTTCGTCAGTGTCTTTTTTCTCTCGGAGTACGAACGAGAAACCAGAGAAAAGGAATGCGTAAGTTTAAGTACCGATAATAAATTGACAAAGCTGGTGCGATGAATGCGATGACTCATTCTCTTCTAATCCATGCTCGCTTTCTACCGAGACATCGCACCCCAACTGAAAGTGACCCTAGTCTACAACGGCGACGCGGATCCTTGCGTTTCCTATGAAGGGACCAGACTAGCGATGACGCGGGTTGGGTTCAAGGAACTAGACGGCGGCTCCTACCGACCTTGGTTTTACAAAAAGACCAAAGCAGATGCAGGGTTGATGAAAGACAAAGCGGTTTTGTTTTTATGAAGTTGAAGCAGAAATAAAGACCACGTCGTTGAACTACATCAAGACTTTATGAATTATAGGGTAGTTAGTAGTCTTTTTATTATCCATTTATGAAGATACTTCCACCAGAAGTATCACTGAAGACTGACACTGTTGTAATATCTGTGACTGTTGTATTGTACTCCTCTGGTAGTGTCACTTGTTCTTTCTTCTTTTTAGATCATGTTTCTTCTAATGTGCGGTCCCTTCCTGGTCGAACAAGAGGTCCCAGAACCGCAGTTTGGTGGTGAAATCGTCAACTACGAACACGGCCTGTCCTTCCTGACGTTTCACGGCAGTGGCCACATGGTTCCGCAGTTTAAACCGATTGCGAGTCTGCACTTTTTGAAGACGATAGTGAAGACACTGGGGACGGAAGGACATCTCCTACGAGGAGACGGCAACAAAATGAACGTCGACGAAGTAGAGCATCCCTTCTTCGACTTGAGTCCCTTGATGCCGAGTAACACGACGCTGGAGACAGTGTCTGACGAGGAGTTTGCCAAAATGTTGAATTCTTGGACAGACACAGCGAAACAACGCTGAGTACGAGTAGTGCGTGTGTAGTAAAAAGTGTCAGGAGTTACCACTTCACTGAATGGCCTCATACGTAGACACCTATTACTAAAAGAGAGGCGCCATGCCCATGACATTACATGACATGACATGACATTCCTACTACTAGCCGGACCCTGACGACGATGAGACCCCTCTGTCCTTCCGCCGCCTCGTCTTTTCGCTGTACAACTAGAACTGAAAAACGTTTGCCCCACTTCCACATCAGCATCATTTTGCTTCTTTTAATCAAGATTTTTTGGTCCCATGCGCTCGACACCTGATTCTTGTTGAACCATACACCTCCTATGCGAAGGTATTACACCTCTATAACGAGAACACCGAGTGAGATAGAAACCAGTCAAGCCTCCAAGAACATGAAGAATAACCATCACTTATACTTTTTCAACAGAACATAAATCGGTACCAATTGCACGGTTGTTGTAATGTCTGGTGCTCAGTAGACGAGTGCAGATGAGCTCTATTCCACGGATGAAGATGCAGCTTCCGACATGGCTCTGAGAAGCTTTGCAACGCCTACATCATCAGCACGTATGCAAAAGCACGCCACTATCGGTCATCCGGACCGAGGTCTTCAGGGGTGTGTCAGTCTCTGCGTCTACTCGCAAACTGAAAATAACCGAGTAAGTGACTGAAATAAGGGAGGTAGGTAGCTTTGACAGGGCTACTCTTCCTTGTTCAGGCTTAACTGTGCTTAACTTTACTTCTACAACAACTAACAACACAGATGAAACAGGTAGTGATCAACATGTAGTTAAAGTTTTTTTGCGGGATCGGGGTGGATGCTCTTCCTCTCTTACAGCAGAAGCGCGACAATGTTCTCCAACATTTTCTACCAAACATAATATGGCAACAATCCTGACTTTCATGCCTACTGCTACTTCGGCATTATGATATAAGTCCTCTTCTAGGTTGAACGAGTATCAAGAACATCTTCTCTGTTTTTCGTTCATATTTTCATCATCTAACAACTCTTCATGGAAGATTACGACACAACTACAATTTTTATTTTTCAAAGAAATGGCTGTGGTGGTCTCACGTGCTCCTTTTTCGCTGCATTGTAACGTGGTCACGCCGTGGACCGCGACGCAAAAGCTGCATGAAAGTCGAATCATACAACAGGAGTACTAAATGCGAAGCAAAAGGAACTGCATCCAATTCGAATAATACAACAGAACTACCTAGGAGAAGTACTTGTACTACTACATCATGATATTGATTATACTTGAAGATTACACACCAAGCACACCAAGGGGTCGTGTACTATAAGCACAGGAGTTAATACAGAACTACATAACAGTTTTTTACACAAGGAAAAGCAAAAATTATGCCAGGGTTAAACTATAGAAAGTTTGATCACATTGGATCGTCTTCAGAAGAAGAGGGTGACAAGGGCAAGAAGGGAAAGAAGGCGGGGTCCCCATCGAGACGCTCGTTTAAATCGAATACATCTTGTTCACGAGAAAAAACAACTCCACCTCCTCAACAAGGGAACAAAAAGAATAAGCCACGAGAAGATCAACAACATTCTACTAGTCCGAACATCACATCTTCTGCAACTCTTTCTCCCACCCCAGGCGAAAAAATAAAACTACAAGCAGATTCAAGGACTAACTGCTCTGCCGTATTAACATCTTCTTCTTCTACTTCAGGTGAAAAGATGAAAGGAACATCATCTTCATCTACTTCTCCAGGCGAACGTGAAAAGGAACGATCTACGTCTCCAACTCCTCCCTCTTCAGGTGGAAGGAAGGAGAAGGGGGCTGTTTTCCGCTCTCCACCTTGTTCACCACCCTCCGAAAAACATAAAACTTGTCCTATCAGCATTCCTCAAGAGTTACTGGACTCGATTCCGAAAAATGCTTCTGTGAAGTCTATCACAAAAACAACTTCGGCGAAACAAGTAGTAGATCCTGAAACGAAAGAAGTTCGGACAGTCGTCGAGGTGGCAGAAACCGTGACCATCAGTCTCCCACGTCCTGCTTATGGTTTCTCATGTTTTTCTCCTATCTTTTTCCTTTAATCAACATAATCTATCTATGAACCATTTTTATCACCCCGGTGCCAGCACTCGTTCATCCTGGTGTCACTCTTTGTCTTTTCAAGGAGTGAATGTGTAGATTACAACTCACCAGCTCGATGAGTTCGTCGTTGCCTTGGAGTTTTTGTAAATGAGGTAGAAGTCGTAGTTACTGTAGCTGCACCACATAGAGGGGACGAAGTGGAAGATGAGCTGCGTCTAGCTTTAGTATAAAAGAGAAAATGAAGCCCCAATTTCATACTGTTGTTGGAGATGAACCAGCGCGCGAAGAGATATTCGAAGCCACAAGAGTAGCTTCCTTTCCGCTTCCATCATCGGAAAACAAGGAGAAGGACTCAACACCGGAAAAAAAGGACTCATCATCTACGTCTACTAGCAGTGCTAGTGCTACTAGTACTACTAGCTCTATCAAGCCTGCTACATCAGTAACAATAACTTCACCCCCCAGTAAGAATTCATCTTCTACTACGACTAGTTCTAGTGCTATTAAGGAAAAGGAGAAGTCCGCTAGTGCTAGTACGGCTACGGCATCTTCACCTCCAAGCAAGGACTCTTCAGCCAGTACGACTAGCACTAAAAACAAGTCCGCTACAGCAAAAACATCTTCGCCTCCAAGAAAGGACTCGTCTACTTTGCCTATCAAGGATATTGAAAATTTATCCATTCCACCGAAGAAAAACAAGTCTGACAAAAACAATTAAGGCTGTACTTAATTTATCCTTGACTGCCTCCTTGACCTTCAAGAGTTGTGTGGGGAAGTATCACAAGGGAAACGCGCCCCCATTATCATATCATTCAAGGATTCAGCTAGCCGATGAAGTCGAATAATTGCGGAGAGCTCTAAAACAAGAAAACAAATACAACGGCCATGCCGTCTTCCGACAAAACGAAAACTGGATCCGACAAGCAGGACAAGAGGCTCGTGGACACAAGTTCGACATCGACTACATCTGATAAAAAAGATGCTGCCGATTGTAGGACCTCCAATACTTCTGAGAATTAAGGCTACCAGAAATCGCAACAGCATCTTTTAGACTTATACATAGATGATAGTTACCAGAACTAGTAGGTACTAGAGGAATCAACTTTGACTTTCAGCATTAACTCCCCATTACGACCTACGTACTAATTACACGTAGGTACAGGTACACGATTCATTTCCCTCACGACGGAAGTTCTGTGTCATCTCGTCTGTTTCTAAAGAATCAAGTTAGCAACCAAACCCACATCAGAGGCTCCAGCGAAGAAGACTTCCATTAATGACAAGCCAACGATCCCGCTTGGTGATTTCGACATCGATGTTAAGGCTACACGCTGAGGCCTATTTTTAATATGAATGAATATCATCCTTGGCCTCCTCTTCTTTCAAGAACAAGAATAGAAAAGGGTCAGGAAAAATGGGCTCAGGTTTCTTGCCACGCGGTAGCTCTAACGATGGCAAGAATTACAGTCTGGCTGCTACCTTGACCGCAGAGGTTGACGGCGTTCGATTTGAGCGCGACGCAGATGGGACCGAGAGGATCGTCATTGCCAGTGGTACCATCACTGCTACCAGAACGCCTAGCAATGCAGAGTCTGGAAGCGGAGGAGCAACCTCGTTTCCTGCGGGAACAGATCACAAAGTAAGCAAAGCGAAAGACGATACTTCATCTGGCTCGTCTACATCAAATTCAAACTCCTCTATTAGGGCTACCGCTGAAGGAGCATCCTCAGGGCCATCCCTGGCTCTTTTTCCACCTGAAAAGGAGGCAAGCCAGGGATGGACTGAGGGATGCGAACGTGTGAGCTCTAAGCCCACAGCTAAGAGGAACGAAAAGAAGGAAGGTTTGATAGATGTCGAGACTCTGGCTAAAGCACTTTTGGACACCAACCTGGATTTCGAGGATTCAGCGCCAGCACCCGTATGTCCACCTCGAAAGGAGTCGCCGCCACCACTTAAAAAGGAGACGATCGCCAGAAAGGGATACACTTCTATTAAGGCACCATAGATGTTGAGGCTCAGCTATTATAAGGTCAACTACTGTGAACCTGATTTGACGTCTGAACCCTTGCGTTCCGTCTACACCCCTCTCTTTTTTTCATCGTGCTTCTGTTGTCGGGGGTCGGCACGGGCTACTAAGTGTATTAGACCAGGATTTTTCTCGTTGCATGAATGATGGCAAGCCCAGACCAAACGGCGGAGCCAACCAAGGGGCACGCAAAACGGGTCCATTTTGAAAAAAAAAAGAGGCGACAAAAATGGGGGTCATTTTGCACCCCATTTTTGAAAATAAAACGTCGACACTTTTTTCGGCATTAAAACGACCCCACTTTAGGGGGCCTGGGGGGGTACAGCAGGCGACACTTTTTGTCGGTCGGCACGGGCTACTAAGTGTAGTGGGAGATCATAGCTGCGCAAAAGGTGCTCCGTCAGCGATCCCTGACCTCCTCGCGCCTCGGTGTCTGTTCCTCTTTTTTAATACATGAGGGTACCCTGCTACTTCCCCCCGTTTTTTCTGACAGTAAATGATGGCTTGGACTGCTGCTCAGGTATGTTACATCTCGGTGGCTTATCTCTTTCTTCTAAGCTATCCAATAGTCTACAGGACTATTGGAACTCATACCTTCAAAGTGATCCATAAGTATGGCTCTCCGCTTCAAAGCTTTTTCAAGAGTGGGGGTGCCGGGTGGGGGGCGACTGCATACGTGGTCATGTAATAATGGAGTGTCCTTTCTGATTTTTTTTTTTACACATTCGTCTACCAAATACCGGAACAAGTCAACGCGGCACATCAAACACAATGAGGACAATGACAATCACAGTGTCTACTTCAGAAATGCTTGAATATGAACCCGAGTTATCTTCTAATGCCACAGGCAGACCGCTTTCATCTTGGTCTCAGGCAGCTGAAAGGCCGGATGAGGTGGAAGAAGACAAGACTGGTGGAGCTGGTGGTCAGGGTACAAGTGCTTCAAGCGGCCCGTCAGCAGCTTCAGGCGGAGACGCACAGCCACAGAAAAAGAAACGAAATAAGAAGAAAAAGGGAAACGCAGCAAACGAATCTAGCGCGGCAGCTGGAAGTGGGGAAGCCGGAGGTGGGGGTACTTCTACTTCTACTACAACTACTACGAAAGAAGATTCAACTACAACCTGCTCTACTTCTCAGCCTGTGACAAGCACTGACATCACGTCGAACATGACGAAGAAAGACGAACCAAGTAGTACTGTAGCTGTAGCTGTTCCAGCAAAGAACAACAAAGACAGTGCAGTCGGTAATAAAAAAGATGAGTCTAGTACTGTTGCAGTTGTAGAGCAAAAAGGGGAGAAACAAAAAGACAAAGTGTCCGATGCTGAAACGACCGCAGCAACCACTGTTGTTGCAGCAGTTGCAAAGGATCTCGAGAAACCGAAACAAGAAGAACCAAGAAACAATTATGATCTGCCCGCGTCCTCCCCTGCGACTGACGCTAGTTCCGGCGCTGGGAGTCTTCCCGTATCAAAGAGTT